TTGTTTGGGATTTTTTTTTTTCTATTTTTTGTTTGTGGTTTGTTTGGGGGGAGCCGGTTTGGGGTTTTTTTTCCTTGGGTTTTGGGGCTTGGGGTTTTTTTTGGGTTTTGGGGGTTTTTTTTAACATCCAAAGAGTATACATTCCGCCTCATTTTACCCCTTTTTTATTTATAGATAAGAATACTTGCAATGAAAAAAGTCTTTAAATTGTACTAAGTAGTGAAAAAAAAAGAATCAACCCCAGAAGATTTTGAAAGGTTCCTAACCCAGAGTAAACAGAAAGTTTCCAGTGAAGTTTTGACATAGTGCCTAGTGGATCAAAACATTATTAATATGCATTATGGAATACTTACCAATAAATGAAACATGTCAATATCAAGTATGCAAGGAAGATTTCCATTTTTTTCATTAGGCACCAGTGCTGAGTATTTGAGAAAGAAAAATAAATTTATTAGTTGAACATTTATATATGAAAAGATTTTAGTGTACTTCAGTTACAAGATGAGAGCTATCTCCTTGGTTTACATGCTGAAACTACTTAAAATACAAATGTACCTGTTTTGGACAGAAAGGCGTGAATTCAAGAGCTGTTCAACATTATTGGAAAAGACTCTTGCCTGCTTGACTATACTGTATTGAAATGAAGCAAACCCAAAGTAACTATAACAAAGTAAGTGCTGCCATTCACTACTCCCACGGTGAACTTCTAATGCTTAGGTTTCCAGTGGGAGACATAAGCTCATACACTAGTGACTAAACAGAAAGACTAATTGCTGTTGTTCAAAGGAGACTTGCAATTCGCTTAACTTTACAAGGTTCCCTAAGTTTGCTCAAAATGCATTGCTAAAATGCAGTGTCTTAAATTCATTATTTTATCTCTAATTAAGAAAAAGCTAGGTATTGGTCTCTCCATCTCTGTAGTATTCACATTCACAGTAGTAACCAAAGTATTAACCAAAGCACTCCAGCTAATGACAGAAATTCACACACTTAATAAATCCCAAGTAATACAGTAAACTCCATCTAAAAGCAAACACAAATAAAGTGTCTGCAAAATGTGGCAATGTATTTAAAACAAAAATCAAGGAACAGTTGCAAACTTCTTTACTCCAAGCAGTAAATTGGATTTGCAATAAACGAGTTTGAACTGCAGCTATGAGAGTAGTTTTACAATGTAGCTATAAGCATTAAGCTGCCAAGTTTAAAAACACTACTACAGTAAAAAAAGAGTCTCATCATAATAACTTAAAAATACTTCAGCTGAAGACTGCTGCCTTGCTGGCCAGAAAATTAACAGCTGAAGATCTGTGACATTTTGAAGCTACTTCTATTAGCAAACATTTCACCACCACTCAGATTCCAATACTTTTACTTTTGTAGGCATACAGCCACAGAACTCAACCAAAAAGTCTTAAAAATGCTTCCATCAAAAATGTGACCAGAACAAGGGACTTCCAAAACCAAACTTTTATTTGATAAGTTATCTTTATGTACAAATAGTTCATAGAATACTGACAGATCAAAGGCTAATAATTTTCCTTATTCCTAGCCTTGAAAAATAAAACAACACGCACTTATCCTTCACAAAAATAAAAGCAGTACAGTTGCTTCTGTCACCTGGAGGGACGAGGAGCTTTGAAGAACCATTGATTCAATTTCAAGAAAACCCAAACCATGAAGAACATGGTACACTACAAAGTTCTGGTCAAATATCTAGCAACATTTTCTCTTCTGCTTCACAGGAAAAGGCTCAGTCATTACTACTACAAACTGATGTCAATTAAGTTCTTCCCCATAAAGCTGCTAACTGTTTGCTGAAGTAGGTGGCATCAATTCTACTAGTAAATTTAGTATATGAATGCATTTTAAAAGTTTCCATGCTCTACTGTCTGTAAACATTAAAATTATCCCATTTTATAATACCCTTTCAGAGCAGTCCTCTCGTGTAATTACTGCATTAGGCTGAACTTTGGACTTTTCACCTGTATCTACAAATGCTTCAAGCTTGGAACATTTTGGCTGTTCTCATTAAAATTCTCAGCTAATACATGACATTACATAATAAGTCCTGTCTTCTCACAGATTCTACTTTTCAAAGGCAGAGAAGTTTGCAGATATATTACAGACCTCTGCAAATATCCTATTTCCTTTCAATACTATATTAATCTTAATTTCCTCCTCTTTAAAGTTCCAGCGTATCACTCTTCTTTTGTGAAAGACCATACTTCCTCCTTCTTTGCTCTAGGTACCTTTCTAAAATCAGTAATATAAATGCTAGGAAGAATCAACAGAACTCCTTCTGTCCTGGTTTCGGCTGGGATAGAGTTAATTTTCTTCCTAGTAGCAGGCACAGTGCTGTGTTTTGGATTTAGTAGGAGAAGAATGTTGATAACACACTGATGTTTTCAGTTGTTGCTAAGTCCTGCTTATGCCAGTGGAGGACTTTTCAGCTTCCCATGCTCTGCCAGGTGCACAAGAAACTGGGAGAGGGCACAGCCAGAATAGTTGATCCAAACTGACCAAAGGGCTATTCTATACCATGTGACGTCATGCTCAGTATATAAACTGGGGGGGAGTTGGCCAGGGAGCAGCAATCGCTGCTCGGGAACTGTCTGGGTATCAGTCTGTGGGTGGTGAGCAATTGCATTGTGCATCACTTGCTTTGTCTAATATTATCATTATCATCATTATTACCTTATTATTATCATTACTATTTTACTTTATTTCAATTATTAAACTGTTCTTATCTCAACCCAGGAGTGTTTCTCACTCTTACTCCTCCGATTCTCTCCCCCATCCCATCAGGGTAGGGGGAGTGAGCGAGCAGCTGCGTGGTGCTTAGTTGCTGGCTGGGGCTAAACCACAACACCTTCACAGAAAAACAGCCACGCTTCTCTTGAAATGTATCTTGGAACCGCAGACGGAAAGAAATGTCTTTTTTTTGTGGTATGATGAAATATGTATAGGTACACATGTGAAAATACCAGCTCTTGGTCTATTAGTTAAAACCACTATATAAAACAATCTTCTGGTAATCAAGACTAACAATCATTCTGTAACCATCTTTTTGTATCTGTATCTTTGTAAAAAACAGAGTAAGGTGGTAAACTTACATGCTAAGAGAGTACAAAAGTGACCCTGTACTGCCGAAAGAGATGAAACTGTCCAGTGAGCTGCTGCAAATCTTGTTAATGATGTAAGGCAGTCATCCTTTAAAAACAAAGAAAAAGAGACATTGCCACAGTTAATGAGGTTCCTCAACATGAAAAGGTCTTTTGACTTACAGCATTCTTTTCAGGCCCCTCAGCTGCAGTTTATGCATGTCTAAGTACATGACAAAGATATTTATGTTTATGCAATTATCTAAGTTCCCTTTGGTATTCTTATTTTAACTGTTACCATGAGAAACCCTGACCTTACTAAACTATGCATTTGTAGAAAAAAAACCCACATAATTCTTTTGCTAGATTTGATTTTTACATAGATTAATAATCAGATACTGATTGACTAAACAGTAGGATCCAAGAAATAAAGCTATCAAATAACCGTAACTTAAAATTGAGATATTCTGCATTAAAAAAGCAAAATTCCCTCTTTTTCCACTGATTCAGAGAAGAACTGCTACTTGATCCTTACCTGTCGACAAGGTAAATGACCAAATAATGGTTTATCTTCATCAGCTAAAATTCGTTCTGGAAAAAAAGAAACCCCACAACATTTCAATGCTGTGAATTTAACTGAATTCTGAAATTCACATATAAAGGAGCAAAATGAATACATTAGAACCTATAGTCTGTATCGTGTAAGCACAGCTTCCCCAGCACATTATAGGTACACGTGGATCTTCTTCATTTGGATGAACCTTCAAGCCTACTTTGTATGTTGCCGTACCAAAAGTTGTCAACATCTCTTTTATGCTCTCAGAATAAGGATTCCTGCAACAAAGAAAACAATATTACTAATTCATTTTTTTCTCCACTGGCAGCATAGTACTTTTAATGATGAGCATCCACCCCATAGCTAAACACCTGGATTTTTAAAATTTAAGTGAGAACTCCAGTATCTTTCTTTGGATCTGGTATTCTGTAACCTCTTTTCTGTGACAGATACACTCCCAATTATTTTTTGATTATTTGACTGGAACCAATCTCATTTTTTAGCATGAAGAATATCCAGTCTTCAAAGATAATATAGTTAAGACTAAATTTAAAGAACCGTGTGTGACTGATGGCAAAATCTACCATCAGCGGGGATAGGTGTCTTGCATTTTTGTGTGCAGTTGACAGGTAAATGTCTGTACCATGTAACGAATTTCATTACTTTTCCCCTAAGGGAAAAAGTGGTAGACTCAAATACAAACATAAAATAGTAGCCAAAATTACATATTAGCATACTCTCCATTTCATAGTCCTTCTTGATGCTTTACTTGTAGTGCTGAGCTACAATGACAAGTCCTTCATGCAGTTACAAGTAACAGGGAAAGAAAGCTTAATCCTGATATTGAAATTTATACAACAGCAGCAAAATTCATATTTTTGCCTTAATTAGTGAGACCTTATAGCACAGAAGTCACATTCTATTTTCATTTTACCATTTCATAATGAAGTGTTAATGATTTATTAAGATGTATATACATACTTCGGTTTGAAACCTGGTCTAAATCCTTCAGGTAATTGCAGCTGATGCATTTTTTCTGAATTACCAGAATTGCCTGTAGAAACAAGAAGTAATAAAACACCAATAATTCACCTATACATAATTTTTATATTATAAAAAGGTGCAGGAGCGCATCACCAGACACTGAAATTCCAAGCTACTCTTCCCACTTTTGCCACCATCTCTCAATGCCACTGTGGTAGAACAACAATACTTAGTCTTCCTCCTGCCTTGGCGTTGTTTAGCCTGGAGAAAAGGAGGCTCAGGGGAGACCTTATCACACTCTACAACTACTTGAAAGGAGGCTTTAACAAGGTGGGTGTTGGTCTCTTCTCCCAAGTAACAAGAGACAGGACAAGAGGAAATGGCCTCAAGCTGCAGTGGGGGTGGGGGGGTGTGTTCAGATTGTATATTAGGAAAAATTCCTTACTGAAAGGGTTGTCAAGCACTGGAACAGGCTGCCCAGGGAAGTGGTTGAGTCACCATCCCTGGAGATATTTAAAAAGACGTGTAGACGTGGCACTTAGGGACATGGTTTAGTGGTAGGCTTGGCAGTATTAGGTTACTGGTTGGACGCAATGAGCTTAAGGGTCTTTTCCAACCTAAATGATTCTATGATTTTCACATACAAATATACACATTTCTTCAGACTTACTTGCACAGTCTTCGTCTCGAAGTAAATACAGTGCTTTTATTTGCTGGGATATTGTTTTGATCCACTGAGCTAGGTTTGGTTGGACTGAAAAGTCTAACCTGTCCAAAAATATATATAAACAGAATACACACATTAGGTTAAGAACAAACTATACACAGAATTAGTATTTCATAGGCATTCCATGTTCTTCTGTCTCAACAGACTCTTTCTCCGTTGCCCACATATTTCTCTATCTTCAGTTCTTCTCCTGCAGGTCCTACACTTCACTGTCCTTTCATACTCTTAAATTCCATACTATACAATAACCAAGGAAGGTCCACAAACCAAAATAAGCAGGCAGGCAATCCATTTGAGATTATCAAAATGGAAGATAATAAATATTTTGATAGGGGGTTTTGAGGTGTGGCTCATTTGGGATTTTGGGTTTTTTTACGTTTATCAAGGACATTTATAAAGCAAACAGACCTGTTAAACAAAGCTCTTGATGGAGGAAGCAGAGGAATAACAGTGTTGCTTAAACATTCACAAAGTGGGCAAAGGAATTCACCATTTTCTACATCGTAACTTGTGTGTACTCGAAATCTTTGTTGTCTTCGTTGTTCTTTTGCTTGGACAGCATCAAAATACCTTTAGAAAAGAGCGAGATATTAATGGCAAATTATTAAAACATTACTTTAACATGTAAATTCACAAATTCTCACAAAGACACTGGTTTGCCTTTTCCCATATATAAGTAAGAGAATTATCTGAAGAAAAAAAGCTCTACCCTCTGACTGATAAAGTATTGCTAACTGCAGGCTATCCCCAGTTTTTTGCAGCCAAAATCCCCCAAAATGCTGAAGTTCATTGGGCTGCCAAAATCACATTTAAAATCTGAACTTTAGCAATTTCCATTTAGGGAAAAAAGGGTGAGGGGGAGAGGTAGAGAGAATGTTGAAGGATTAAAAAAAAATAAAATTCTTCAGTTTTCCATAAAATTTTAAGGGAGGTGCCATGAGCATTATCCATGTGCATTTTCCATTACAGGCCACAACAGAGCAGCCACTGGAAAAACTGGTGGCTGATCTCCAAATCCTATACAATAAGGAACTGAATTCACTGCTTTGCTAAATGTAACTGCTATTCCAGAAGCCTCTGGATGGCTTATAGCACACCTGACTGATCCAAAAATGGTCTGAATACAGGCATCTAAGGACATTCCCAGGAGTTAATGGCAACCACACAGGACTGTACATGAGCTACACAAAAAGACGAAGAACACATCTTCAGTGAGCAGTGACATCAAAGACCACAAATGAAACCTGCACTAGAATCGCTGCATCGTTATGGCCACAGAATCTCTGGGAGCTCCTAACACTCTTCACATACAAGGCAGAATTTGAAGGCAGGCACTTCAAGGAGCCATGCCAAGGACCAAAGCAAGGGCCTAACAGAAGTCAGAACCTTGAATGGCTTGCATTTGCCACACTACTGGCACCACACAGCACAAAGTACATTTATCCCCCTCCAAAAATCAAAGAATAAAAATAACTGAAAAAGGTTTTATAAAAAACCTTAAGAACAAAGGATAAAATTGAGTTTATGTTGAAGATGAACTTGAACTAGGTTGCAGATGTTTCTACTTCAAGTTAAGCATGACGGAGAAATTAAGGGTGCAAGGGAGGCACTGTCATTTAAAACTTCAGTAAAAAGCACTGCAGGAATATGTCTATTACTAAACTGGAAAAAAAAAGTCTGAGCTTCAGTGTTCAGATCTATGTGCACTACAGGGGATTATGCATAGGGATAAACAACCAAAGGGAATGAAAGCTGCCACGTGTGGCTTTGGATTCTTCTTTACCAAGATGACAGATAGGAAATGAAAATTATTTTGAACATGTTTACAGTATTTATTGTAATGATTTCTACTTTTTTTTCCCCCCAACAGAAAACAAGCTGGTTTAATTGCTTCAGGACATTCCTTCTTCAGTTTACTACATGGTAGTAATTTTGCCATTAAAATCTGTGCCATTAGGCAAACTGATGGCATGATGTGCTATGTGGACTAAAAACTTAAATATAGCTTTTTACCTTTGCCAACAATGAGCATGCATAATATGTCCACAGCTACCCGTGTGTGTTCCACATGACAGATCTGGGTGCATGAATAATGGGTCATACTTTTCTGTATTTAAAATAAAACAAAACAACTTTGAAATAAACATTTATCAAAAGACTTAACTGCAGATAAATGTTACCACATTTGTGTTATTACTAAACTTTATCATAAAAGTATAACTCATTTGATGAAACATAAACCATATTGCTAATCCATAACAACTTAAACTATTTAGAACATTTACAAGTATCATGTCATTTTGTTTTGAGCATATGTACTGTATGTATTTAGACTTCAAACCAAGCTTTCAGAGGTGCTGGGCCCTGGTAAAAGTCCCCAAGATCTACCTGCAGGTTTGGTGTTTCAGTACCATTAAACAATGAGTCTAAGAACGTCAATCTTCAGAGTGAGAGTGCAAAATGATTCAGTGCAGAAATTTTCTATATGTTTACATATATAGAATCCAGAGAAACCTTTGTAACAATGCCACTGATCACTGTGATCTGTTTCACAAAGTTACCGAAATGCAAGCTTTTTTTTTTATTATCGCTAATAGGCATTTTGGATCATGTAACAGACGAAGGAAATGCGTACCTTGTGCTTTTACAGCACTACATCAACACCTCCTCTCTCTATAACATTATGAGCATTAGTTTAAGGATAAACTCTTCTGATGTTAAAGGGTTTTGTAATAATTACAAATAATTGTCATAAATGGCTTGCAGAATATTTAGATAATGCTTTGCAGTTATTTTACATTATTTAGAACACACATTTCTATCTCACTAAAAATATGGGAGTTTTGCCACTGATTACAATGAAGTCGCTCACAATTATACAGTTAACATAAGAAAGTGATGCTACTGTCTCAAAAGAAAGCTTGCAGTTGTTACAGTGACTCCAACATTCATTAAAGACAACTATGAACTTTACTTACCAGGGTCTGGAATAATTTTGTTTCTATTTTTAGACAACACAGTTGATCGCTGAATAAATGCTGCCAAGACCATAGCCCTGCTGTCCACTTTAACTTCTTGTTCCTCCTGACACAATATACACATAACAACCTGTCTGTGTTCAGCTACTCTAGTTTGCTCTGGTCCCAAGGCTGTGAGTTTTGCATCTGAAATTACAGGGCTAGAATATTCAAAGAATATGAGCAAATTATTTGAAAAACATTACAAATCAGATTGTGATTTAAATGTGATTAATGAGCTTCCTAGCTTTATGATAAATGCTGACAAAAAAATAGTTTTGGAATTTATACAACAATTCCTATGTCCCCAGAAATAGAACATATTTTACAGAAAAAATTCATACCCTCCCAATAGTATTACCCACTCCAGTTTAAGACAGAAACTATATCTGCGACCCTCCATCATCACCATCCCTTAGAGTGCCTGAAGTAAATTCTGAAAACACTCTCCACTTGCCACAAAATCATTAGCATGCTTCAGTTCGTATTTCCAGCTACAAGCAGATTTTTTTTTCCAGATCCTCAACAGACATATAATCAGCTATTTCCAATTTACTATATTTAATAGCATAGTCTCTTCAGTATTATTAACAATTTACTAGATGATTTTATACAAAAAATTACTTGCAAGTTTATGTTGAGCACTATGAGGATGGGACAAGGGAGGAATCAATATTTAACCCACCATCTTGACAGAAAGGGGGAGGAAAGCATTGCATTTACTGCTGCTTTTTTGCTCTCAAAAACTTATGTATAGTTTTCCATCAAGACTAAAAAAAGCACTTTAAGCAGTAACAATAGGACAATCAGACGTAGAAGTTAAAGGAAAAAAAATTAAATTACATTCCTTTACCTATTTTCATGTACTCCAGAGGTTGAAGTATCTAGCTCCTCCAAAGTTTGCTGAAATAGTTCTTTGTTTTCATTAATGAAGTGCCGTTGCATCTCAGACATCTGGGCCATGATCTTTTCTCTGCGCAGTCTGGCAATCTCAGCTTTTCGCTTCCTTTCAGCTTTGTCTTTATCACGTGAACTCTGAAATTGTATTGTTCGCTCAGCCACTTTTAAAGTCTTGTTACAACAGATAATTCATTTTAGCTACTGCTATGTGTAACATGTACTAACCCCCAAAGAATGAAAATCTCATAAAAAGGCAACAGAAAAGTCTACCAAAAAGTTATTTTGTGCCCTCTTTTCTTTAGCTCATGTTCAATGCCAGATAGAACTGCAGATCCATAAGGCTACCTCTCCCCCTCAACCTTTAACTGTATTTTGTATTTCTCTTCCCTTTGAGCATTCATAAGGTAAAAAGGTAAGTAAGTGACAGGTCTCGTCTCTAGTGCTGCTCTTCCTCCAAACGAGCTGTATTCCTAAACGCACTACAATGCTCCAAGGTCTTTGTATAGTATCTATAATGTCATGTCAAGGTAAACAAATCAGCAGAGCTTATCTGGAATGACCTGCATGGTAAAAATACACAGATACCATTTATTTTAACAATTTTCCACGGAGTCTGAAATTATGGGAAGAGCAGAATCATTAAATTTTGTGTGAATTTAATGTGATCAGTACTACAAACAGTTCTAAGGAGTAAACATGCAAAAGATTTGGAGACTACAATATATAAAGTGAAGAAAAATAGTCCAGGGACTCTCCCAACAGGTCTTTCAAACAAATGGGTTCAATCTATAAGCTGCAAGACAGAATTTCAGAAATCACTGATGTTTCCTATCTTTGATTTAGAGCTGCAATTAGAAATATAGTCCTCTGCTAGTCAAAATCCAGACCTGTTCCAGATCAGCTAACTGTTACAGCTTGCTTTTACCTCCTCCATAATATTTCCTTCTGTCTCAGCCACAGGACTTGTTGAAGAGCTTTCTCTTAGTTTCTTAATAGTATTAAAAGTCTGTAAGAAAAAAACGCAACAATTTGTGACACGTGAATATAAGTGTGTATACTAGAATGCTGGCCTGATAATGCGCAGTGTTGGATTCCAGAAGAGGAAAAAAAGTAGGTACAACAAATCAACATGGGAAATGAGGAAATCATCACAATATAATTAGGAACATTTCTAAAATCTTCTTTCCATAATTTCAGCAGTTATATAAAATAGATTTACCTTCAATATCCATCTGATCATGTCCTTATGCACTTCCAGATGAGGTGCATTTTGCAGTGTTTCTAGCATAGCTAGTATACTAGGGGAATTATTGGGTGCCTCTCCAGGTCCTGAGAAAAAAATTACAGCAACAATTGATTATACTGTTACCTGACAAACTCATCATTTGCTAACATTAAAAACAACACAAAACAAAGAACAACACTTGTATATGTTCAGCAGATGAAGAATTCCTTCAACAAACAGGCACAATATGTAACTTACATTCCCCCCTCCACAAACATTTTCATTAATACCCTCTAAATCCTGAACAGTTAGAGGAAATAGTCTTAAAAGTCTTGCTCGCTGACTATATTTCCTTACAAGACAAATGCACTGCATGTGCTCCCTGGCCATTTTCATCCTTGGAGCTGCCACGTAGAACCTCCAACATTTTATTTCCCACCTATTTTAAATGGAATTGTCTTAGCAACTTTCATGTCTTAGCAAAACTAGAGGCACTAGTCAGAAGATGCAAAGTAGAGCCAAGATTAAAAGACCATTTAAGAAAGCAACTACAGTTTTTAAAATCGTAGCATCTGATCATGTACAGCATGTTGAGACGCTACTTAAAGATATTAAGAACTGGATTTACTGGGAATTATTCTACTTCTGGATTTCTCCTCTAGAAAAGGCCTTAAGCATTGCTACTATAGAATCTACACATATGTAAAGCACATATGTACAGTCAACGTGGTAAAACTTTGATGGAAAACCAAATATACTCTTCTGGTAAATACTCTTTCAGAAGAATAAAATATGAGATACTGGCATTCTCAGTTATTTAAAATTTGCTATACATTTGAAAAGAAAGGCATACTTGATATTTTCTGAGTGAAGGTAAATGTTACAACACTCTCCTCACTGAGATTCTCCAGATGTTGTTTTTCTTCTTGCAGTGCCATTCCAAGCAAATGCAAAACCTAGGTAAAATAATTCATATAGTTTCTTTATATAATTTGGATAATTCATTAAGAGACAAGGAAGTAATATAATAAAATTATATAATAAGAACATATTTGAAGTTATTTCTATATACGTATTTCCAAAGCTACATTACACAGGAGTAACAGTGTTTGTTTACAAATTCTCAAAACTTTGCCAGATAAAAAAAAACCCAACACATTATGCCACTTCTATCTTTCTGTTTGCTGTCCTGTCTAGTGAGTAAGAAGGCAGCAATTCTCCCTAGCAATTGCATGTTATTATCACAAGTCTCTGGACAGAAGCATGATGCACACTTTAAATCCTTTTTACGTACAAAATTTAACTTTAAATTTAAAAGTTAAAATTATTAAACTAAATTTATTCTAACACTCTAGAAACACATTTTAAAATAATGTTAACTTTTAGGTCAGTGAAAAGCTGTAATCTCCTTGAATTTAAAAATTAAAATTACCCTATTTGGCACTAAAATAGGCTGAACAGTGTTTTAAAGCTGAAAAACTTAAATCTTGGTGGTGAGCTCTGTCATGCTGAATCAATCACTTTTGCCACCCCATACAAATTGCTCTAGACCAAAAAGCGTTACTGAATGCCTGGAATCAACACTGAAACCCATGTAAGGAAAGGATAATCACTGGAAAATCTGTAGCAGAACTGGAACGCAACAGTAAAATAACTAAAGTATCTATAGAAAAAGTGGTAAAACCTGATTTGAGTCTTCAAGTTTTTTTAATTTGTTTTAGTAAGTAACAGTCAATTCTTCCTCAGTCTATCACATCTATCTAACAAAGTCTCATCAGATATAGGCCACCTCTTCCAGATGCCTCATATCAACCTTTGCATGCTGCTTCCAAGATGAGAGCAGTTAACTTGGGAAAGATGCAGTCCAACTGCATGGAACCAGTGAACACAAAGCACTGTTTCTGAGCAAGTGCTAGGTCCCTAATGAATCACACGTTTTGGAGAACAACACAGAGGGACTCGTATGGCTGAGCATGTTTTAGTTCAGTTTCAAAAAAATTAAAATAAAATCTTATTCTACACAGTTATTCCAAAGCCTAGCATTCTCACATTACCTAAACGTAACTACATTCTTCAATTTTTGTTGTGATTTATAATACTGATAATACTGTTCCATTTTCAACTTTTTTTGCAGTATACAGAATTGCTTATGTTAAACTTAGCTATAAAAGGTAATATACACTCAACAAGACTGAATGTAAAAAGTTAATACTCAGTTTCAGAGCTGGGGTTTTATTTAAAAATGTTATTTAAAAATCCATCAATATTTTAGAAAAGTTTGGGTTTGGACACTAAACCAACAACCCTGAGCAATATGAATAGCCCTGTGATGGCAGCTCACCACTTATCTCTGCACACCCCACAAAATGACCATCATGGACAACAAAATCTACAGTAACCCTCCAGGTTTTTAAAGACCATTATAAATAGTGAGAAACAAAGAGCTTAGTTGAGTTTCCCAAAGCTGATACATTTTCAAGTTAGAAAGTTCTTTTCTGTACTTCTATGATTTTTTACGAAGTGATTTAGCCTAAACTGAAATAAGCAAAGGAACATCAAGACAAAGTCAATGTGCTTTACCTAATATGCAACAACTCAGATAAACTGCTTCTCTGCCACAGTAAACACTAACTATTTCAATTGATTCAAGCAGAATTCTTCCCTCTTTGTGCATCCCATTAGAAATTTACCTCCATCTTCCATTCACTTTTAAAAATTAATTGCATCAGAGGCAGAGGGGTTTCCCTAGTCTTGTATGTCATAAAACACCATTTATTTCTCATCCAGAGTATCCTGGATGTGTTAGATACCAAGTGAACAACCCCAATCTATAAACCCATGTTAAAATGCTAAAATACATACTCCTTCCTTTAGCATAAGTGTAATTTTAAATAAGGAAACATACCCTTTGCAGCATGGACTCTGACCAGGCATAGCCATTGTGTTCTACTGCCCACTGCAGTATAGTTCCCATAATGCACAGCATGACATCAGATTGCAGAATATTAACCAGACTTGCAAAAAGTGGGCAGAAAGGAGGAAGAGCTGGGGGTGGAAGTGCTGAAAGGGAAATTTGTGTGTTTGACATTTCAGCATCTCTAAAATTTGCAACACCCACATAAAAAATGTCTGACTTAACAGCTTAACCCAAGACAGTATACAGTTGCTTGATAAACAGCAATACAGTAATAGGTTGTAACATTCAGCATGGCTTGCATGTAACAGAAAAGCCAAAAGAATAAGCCCTTCAGAAGAAGGCTGGTTCTATGATGGATCAGATTCCTGTCTATAACCAGAGACACATAAGGGAAATTGCTACATTTTCACCAATTTCTGGCTAGCCCAAGAATAGAATGTTACTCTAAGTGTCAGGGCGATACACAGTTTGATGGGTGCTTCCCTCTTCTCCCATCTTCTCTCAATGAGAAATACCTGTATCTTCTCTGTTCCGTCTTTTCAGCTTTCTTTGTGCTTCCTCTGCCTGAAATAGAAGAATGATGCCAATGTTACTCAAAACCTGTATAAATATAAAACTAATAAAAAAACATTCACACTTTATTACATTGTTACTGTTTTTTTCCCCTTTTTCCCAGCCTTAAATAAAACAAGAAAGCTTCCATGTCTTTTCAGTTTGTCTTACATTCTACTTATAAACTAGAGCCTGCATCTTCAAAATTAATCTTTCATCTTGAGCCAGCCTGGATTCTTTTTCTAGCATAAAATGGTAAGACAAGTCTGAGATGAAATGGTAATTTCCATAAAGGTAAGTGAAAATACAGATTGTTTAAATACTTTCAGTAAAACGAGACCTAAGAGAACCCACAGACAAGCTTCCAAAGCCCCACTGATTTCAGCAGCTCTGTATAGGGCACAGGATCTGGTGGCACAGAAATCACTGCAAAATCTTGGGCAAATTTTGTCAACATTCTCAAATAAGTTAACTTTTAACCAGCTGATAATACTTCTTCACAGAATAAAGCTTTGGAAAAAAGCAAACCAAAAAAGACACAAAATAAAACCCAGTAACTTAGATTACTAGTTACCTTTGATTGCTCTGCCCTTGAAAAGTGATAGAAATACAGATTGAAGTTCCTGGCACATTCTGGTTTTAGTTGATAGAGCCCTCTGCCTGTTAATCCAGGTTTCCTACAAAAGGGGGGGGGTGTGGGAGAGATAAAAACTTATGTTCATTGGTTATTAACATCTGAGCATAAATGGTTAACCAGAACAGCTAAAAAACACTGTTCAATAGGCATTCTAGAAATCACATAAGTAACAGTATTCAGAATGATGCACATGAGTAAAGACATGGGAAAACACCATGACCCAGCCCCCTTTCTTCTATTTTCTCGTTTTCACTAATTTAGATATTCCATTTTTAAAGCTGAAGTATTAGAATAAAAGAGAAACATACTTGAAACAGGCCACTTCTTCAATCACACTTTCCATTCCTGTCTCTCTGTTCTCCTACATTGAGTGAAAAGGCAAGACAGTGTTACTGTAGTTCTTGGATTAAACACATCCAATTATCATACAACACTAGATAAGCATGCAAAACAAATGTAGTACAAAGTCATTTTACTGTCTCTCAAGAGAACACTAAAGCATGTAACATGAAAATACATTCAGGAATACCATCTCTGCGAAGAATACTTTTAAAAAATCATGCCATTTTACGTGCTTAATTCTGACTGGTTTTCCTTGTCATAATAAACTTGCATGTAACAGTAACAGAAGAAAAACCAAAGTTAGCTTACTCAGCCTATCTTAGGAATATACAGTCAACATTTCTGGTTTCTAGCCCTTTAAAATGAAATATATATAGGAAAGCTAAAAAGATAAGTCACTGAAAAATGGTAAAACAACCACAAAATGCAGCAGGAGGAATCAGCTCAGCCGCCTCCTACACAAATTACATTTTAACATTCCCATCCTGTTCCTGCAATACATATTCACAGCAGTTAACAGGCCAGGGAAAATGTATTTAAGACTGACAGTACAATTTAGAACTCTAGTTTACATCCTAGTTTGCTCTTTCATACAACCCTAAAATATTTTTTTTAAAAAAACATAATGTTACCCTGAAATCTGACTTTTCAAATTGTTTAAAATACTTAGAACAACAAGAAATATTTTAGAATTTATCATTAGAAGTACTACCAATATAGTAAAAGATTAACTTTTGAATTCTGACTGCCTTCAAAAATCATGTTTAAGATCACTTCAAAAATATTCTTAAAAATAAATAAATAAATACAGCTTTGTTATCCTACAAAACCACTCATACCAGGATTCAGATAAATGCTTCTGTCCATGCAAATGAAGCATTTATGTTACACAAGTCATTATACTGTGTCTGAATCCACATCTCTTCAATTATTGTTAGCTTATATTTCTGGATAGCTCCAACAACCCACTTCGATACATCTGTTCAGGGTTTACAAGAAAACTGCAGAGACTGCTAGCCAGATGGCCTGATAAGAAACAGTATTAAGAGAAAAGAGCTGAAGAAACTCTCAGGCTCCAGCCTCTTTCATATGTTTCTTCTTCTATAGGTCTTTCCTACCTTCTCCATGACAACTATTAATCTGTACTCATGCTAATCTTACTCATGGCATCATCATGCTGCTCCCATTCCACATTAAGTGGCATAAACTTGTGTAAGAAAAATTTTCAGCAATCAGCCTTATAAAGTCGAAGTTTCCATCCACCCCACCCCCCTGCCAAGTTACTTACATCTTCAGGTAATGCCTTTACCAATTCACTGTGAGCCATTGGCCTGATGCTCAACTGATGGATGATCTCCCGTTTGATTTCATCTGTTGCATTTACCTGTCCTATTCCAGGACTGAATCTTTCACCTGTAAAATTTTTTTTTTTTTTAAAAAGGATTTTAAACATCTCTTTCTTTTCTTTTGCAACTTAAAGCAAAAGACTGGAAAGTAAGTCTCTTCTGTGAAATCTTGTGTTCACCCACCAGTGTTCAAAAATTCATTACATTAATCTAAGCTAGTTTCAAGGTTTTTCTCCTAGGAAATAAGTCAGAACCACAGGAAGTTCAAAATAGAACTGAACTTGAGGTGACAATGAAGAATGCTCATTCCAGACCATTAAAGAGTATTGTATCAATCAAATCAAATGTATTCTGAACTTACCAACAATCATTATAATGAGGTATAGCATCTCTTCTATAAGAGTGTTATTTTGTTGAACAACATCCTGAATTAAAACAAACAAACAAAAAAGAATTTACATTTTCCAATTAAGGGTAAAAGAATTATTCCATATGCTGAAAACATTTTTTTTTTGGTGCTTCAAAACATTGCCTGTTTTCACCCTTAGCACTCCCAAATTAAGCTATGCTGAAATGCAATCACAGCTGCCTTAAACTTCTTAAACAATGCAAAAATTATGCATCAGTTTCTGACATTTACCAGTTTGACAGGTAAAAATATTTATGCATATTTCAAATTGGTCAAACTAAATTAAAATAGCATAGGTTTTGATTTTTTATCAACAAATTGCAGAGTCTCAGTAAACAGCATCTGATATACTTTTGAAAACAAGACTGGAGATTTTCTATTGCAGTAGTACATAAAATACCTTGTTAGTATTTTCTGCGCTAAATCTTTTGCCATAGTCTGGAGTACTAAATATCTGATAAAGTTCAAAGCGACTCAGCATTATCATCAAGAAGTGATTTGGATCCATCATAGACACACCTGTCTATTAAAGAAAAAAAGGATTATAAACAGAAAACAGATTGAGTGTTATTATAGCATGTTTGTATAGTTATACACAATGTTCACAGCATATCTTTTATGAAATTCATTCCTCTCTCTCTATCCTGGGCATGAAGATTTAATTATTTAAGTTTACTCTCTTAGGACTCCAATAACACAAGTGACAGCACATTTGACAAGCAGGATCCTATGCTTTATTAATAATTTCTGATGCCCTTTTAAGTGTAAAATATTCTGGGTTATCCCTTCTATCTCAAATACTCTAAATAAAATTCAATGAAAGACTTTTGGTTTGTTGGTTTTGTCTCTGTTCCTGCTGGCTCAACTTCTAGAAGGCATAGTATCACTTAGTATATAGCACAGAAAGATTTTAAAAACTATTTCCAATCCTCAAAACAAAGGCTGAAGACTTTAGCAAGACTTCCCAAACCTTCCTGAAAAGAACAATACTAATGTTTCAATGTAGCCACAAATGTTTACTTCCATTTCTGAAAACTATTGGCCAAAGTTTTTTCTGTGTATTAAACAATGTGTCTCAGCTGTCCAATTATAAATATTTGTTGTTAGTTTACTATTGCTAATGGGACCATCTTTAGGACAGAATACTTTCCAACAAAACTGAAGGATATCTACCCAAATGGCCAGCTGCAGATGATCATTAAGAGTTAGGGGCAGATCAAGCCTCAGGGAAAGAAGTCTGAAAGCAGAACTCGAGACATATGCATCACATTGGGTATTGCTAACTCTAGGTAAGATTTCAGTGACTTTCTGAGAACAGATTTTGCTGTCTAGGTGAACTACACACCCCGAGCTGCAAATTTTAGCTTTTGTCACTCTCAATGTAGAAGTAATGCATCAGACCTCTCTGTGTCAGAGCTAAGTAGACTGCCAGATTTGTAAAATCCCTTCTGAAGGGGGGGAAAAAAAAACCAAACAAAAAAAAAAAAAATCACAAACTACTATATGGGGTTTCACTTTCTAGCCAGCATTTTAGATGCCAACTTTGAAGGGAGGGAGAAGAGCAACACATACATTGAATACATTACTGAAGACCTGCACACTTGCACGACTGCCAGTACAGCACAACCCACTAGTTAAAATATTACATTCTTGAAGATGTAGCATTACATATGGGTTACACAGGAAATTCTGCACTTTCCTCAGTATATTTAAAAAACAAGGATTACAACAACAGTATTTCCTTTACAAATTATCCCATAAAGACACAGATACAATAAAAAAAAATAGAAGTCCTTCCACAAAAATTTACTTTTTCCTTGCCATTAAAAGGTTCTGATGGAGCTAAAACCAAATGCACACATATCCTGAAAATGCTTGATAAAAATGCAAACTGGTACATGTGGTTACCTGAAGCATTACTATGTCCTTGTCAAACATCTCCCTCCTGCACTTCACATTATGATAGTAATAAATCTGAAACAAGAAAGCAGACCACAATAATTAATAAACATCATATTTAGTCTAAACTTATTCTCATTCTGGAAAAGTAAACTTTGTTATAAAGTATTAGTAAACAAAAAATGAATCTGTGATTTGAAAAAATTATACAAATATATTTGTATGCAAAAAGCATTTTTATATAGCACAAAACAAGCAGAGTTGCTGGCTGGGTTCTATTGATCTAATGTCTAGATTGCATACACTTAGAAAGAAAAATCTTGTGGACCTCTTTGGGCTACATTTTAATATATCTACTTCTTTAGTAATTAACTGTTTGAAATTCACAGGAGAGAAAGCCCTTGCAGTTGGAGAAATGTTCTTTCTTTGCTCCATGTGTTGCTCTTTAATTATTTGAGATATAATCTTTCAGGAATTGCCTGTTTCAGCAAAATGTTAGTATTGTGATAGAACCATACTTAACCCAAACCATCCTGGGAGTGAACTGAACAGTACTGAAGCAGCAGCAACACCACAATCACTGCATGGCACTGAAATGTGGGAAAGGTTGATTCTATCACAATTAAGGAAAAATAAAAAGAGGGCTGTCAAGTTTCTACCTGGGACTGAGAACAACCTTCAGCATGCTAAACTCTCCTCTAGAGACACACCATTTCTCACCAGAATTACATGGAAGAGCGCTAAGCATGCCTTCCCTCTCTTCCCCATACTAATAATCCACACATAGATGCCCATTCCTATCTTCTGGGAAAATATCCAAAAGGAGCTGGCTGAATATGAGCTTTCCACAGCCAAAGGAAAGGGAAAAAACTTCCAGACTGTGGGAGCTATATTACCTAAACTAAACCAGGACCTTAACTTCAAGATGCTGACAACTAGGGGAAATTAACACGGAGACTTATTTCTCCATCAAAAGCTATGCTGATATTTCAGATTTGATGTGTGTCTACAGTAATATGGGCGTTGCTGTAACTGTACGTAACTAGAGCTCCTTTTGCTTTAATAATGACAATAAAGGACATCACCTTATAAAGATCCTTTAGGTTAAGAGGCAAGAAGTGTTAGAATATAATATGTTTGGGCAGCTTAATTCAGCCTTCTAGTACACATGCATTGCAATTATCTAGTGAAGATGGGGGCTTGTGGGAGGGAAAGAAGTTTCTTGCAAATAAATCAAGTGAACACCTCACATAACTAAATCCTATTTATGTTGTAATCTATGTCTTGCTGAGAAAAATCACTTTAGATGATCACCCTGGTGGGTGACACTGACACTATAGTACCCATTTTATAGTTGTTAGCTTGAAATGCCTAAGACCCAATTCGTACAAACACAGAGAACGTTAAGTTTAGAGATGGATGGAGCTAGTCTCCAGAAGTATGAAAGAAGTGTGCGAGATAAAAGCCAAGAAACACTCAGTTCTACACTGGTCCTAATGCTTCTGTGTGGTCTTCAGATTTCAATTACTTTATAAACATAAATAGTAATAGCATCTTAATGGTGCATATTTTTATATTTGAGACACCTTTATGTGAAGGTGATGAATGCATTACTGAAGATGCACAGATCTAATTCTGCACTTCATGCTGCTGTTGGACAGTGTACAGTAAAAAGGCTAGGAGTCATTCACTGCATTATACAGAAACTTCTTTATGGACAGAGCACCAAGTTCACTGAGCACTGTAGCAGTCCTGAAACAAAAAAGCCATTTCTGACTAAGAAATCAAAGACCAGTTTAAAAGCACAAATATTCAAATGATACAAATGCTGACATAAAAGCCGATCTCGCATTGCCCTCCGTAAGATTTATATAAGTGAACTTTGAAATCAATACAGAAAGGGGAGGTTTTGTGGTCCAAAATTATCTTGGGGGAGTTATCAGAAAACAGTGATTCTACAGCTACTATGTACTTACCTGATTAACAAGAGAGAACCCATTTCTTCTCCACATCCCAGCATGCACTTGGGCACATAGGACTAGACATCGGAGAGGATGTTCTATTAACATAGGCGGGCTAAGTTCACTCTGCATTGAGAAAATGCAATATTTTGATACATACACAGAAAATAAAAGAAAATGGGACTGAAATGAAGGAGGAGGATATTTGTGATTATTAAAATATTTTGGTAATACAAAAGAGAAGCAAATCCAACATATATATTAGAAAAGTTTGAGGAGCCTATTCACAATCTATCCACTTGTTAACCAACCTTACATTCTGTCTTTGCTCCACAGTACTCTGCAAGGGCTTTAGTTTATTCTTAAAGAAGGTAGGTCTTGTATTTTAAAACATCAACACTATCAATTTAATAACACTGTCATTCGCTTTCTTTCATTCAAAGGTTAAGTACTGCTTCTTTCAAAAGACACTGAGATTTCTTCTCCCAGTTATGTTTTCTCCTCTTTTAATTTATCTTGTTCTTTTTAACTTCCCCTTAAAGAACGAGCACATCAGTAAGAACATGCGGAAAGCAAGAAACAGCTGGGGAAGAAAATTAGAACCTAGGCCAAGAAGAAACCAGATCCTGCCAGAAGTTCCAAAACCAGTTTCTACTACAAAAAGAAGGTAATGCATGAAGAACAAAGTACAAACCTTAAATCTGAGTCTTAAGTTATTTAAGAGAGCAATACTGCTTGCTTACGCTCCAGTCATGAATATCTAGATATTAATCTTTTAAGAGGTAATTCTATCTACTAAAGATAGTCTCTCTGAATGGAATTCATAGCATAAAGGTCCTTTGTTTTATTTAATAATATCCTACACTTACATGACCAATTTCACATTCAGCATTAACTATATTTAATGAATATGCTACATTTAATTACATACCAGGGGTAGCAGCTCTGGAAACTTGTATGCCACTTCAGTTTTACTCAGCAAAACATGCAAGCCTACATGAATACATGAAACAAATACATACATAATATTAAACACAATATTTTATATAATTCAAATGGGACAAAAAAGGTCATCTAATTTACTACTGGACCATTTTCTGGACACAGCTACAAGTAAGTCTGCAAATTTATCACCCTGGAGCTACACAGCTATTTCCTGAAGAGACATATTACAAAGCATACATTTTAGGACAATTAAAGTTTTCCCATTGTATCTGTACAAAACTTACAGTACAAGATTTTTGCCTTTCTTTTGACTCTGTCATGTCCCCTCAGCAGCAGCTGAGAGTCCTTAGATTCTCAGGACAAATTATCAACAACATATACCTCACCCTTTCTACCAATCCTTAGAGGTTTATAAAACAGTTCAGGAACTCTTAAGGAGGCCTCTACAAAACACGTAAGGGTTTTCTGGTGTGCTTTGGTTTAAAGCTACAAGGGTTTTACTTAAAGATTTAAACACTCAGTTATTTAATGCTGAGCAGCACAGTATTTTACCTAAGAATTACCTTTTTCACTTCATTACCCGTGAATTTATTTTTATCATATGACTTTCTGATTCTGTAAACTAAAATTCATGAACCTTTTTTAAACACGACTGTCGAACAAGATAGGCACAATACAAAGAGAAAGACATAGCTTAATTTTCTGGTGACACATCTGTTTGATAAATCTGTTCTGTAACAGAATGTTGATTAGTCTATTCAATCTGACAGCTAAACATATTACAAACAGTCAACTACAGTCCATATTTTATTGCATTTCTTTTGCATCACTCAAGTGGAAAAAGCGGCAGTAATTGCCTACAACACATCGTAGTGACAAATCCAGAGGCATGAGAATCTCCCCCAGGCCTGAAACAATAACATTCTCCAATGCTTGGGAACATTTTGCCTAGGGACTATCAAACAGCTAGAAAATGGCCAAAATGCATCCTGTTCAGGCTTTAAACAACTGCTGTGTGGTTCCTTATGTACACACAAATACAAATCACATCTATACAACATTTTTAATTTCCTGAAATATTTTTAAACTAGTTCATACCTGCAAGTAAACGAGAAACTGGGAGATGAATGCTAACTTTTTCCTGAGAAACACAGTATCTGATGGTCTCAACTGAATGTCCACACATACTGAGAACAATAGGCTGTTCTCCATCAGTAAAACCACTATGGCACTGCATCACCACAGTCAGGCATTTCTTGTAAGCTTCAATTAACACTTTTTCCTAAAAAAAAAAAAATCAAATAAAAAAAAAAAAAATCACAGTTTACAGAGATTATGAAAAAAACAGAGCTCTGCAAAATAATACAGCCAACATAAAAAAGCCTGATTGGTTTGAGGTTTTTACCTTTATTAACAGTCCTGCAAAATTAAGATAAGGAATCCAACAAAAGGAGATGAATTAAGGGGGACACAGATTGTGAAACTCATACAGGTATGTCTGATTAGAAAAACATCCACTAGTTCTTTTTTCTTCTTTTTTTTGTAACTTATATTATGGGAACTTTCTAAGCAATGATCAGGCTAGACTAGTAAAACCTGCACATTAACTAACAGTGACAGATTAAAGCCAGCTTGAATGTTCAAATATTCTAGGATCACTTGTTCCACAGCCATATTTTACCACGCTGAAGTTCTGTACTTCTAAAACTTGAAACACTTATGGAATAAAAACCCGATTTATAATGAGGCAGTATTTGGCAGATCCAGGGCCTACTCCTCTACTCCCTCTTCTCTGAAAATTATAACCTGATAGTGTGGTGATGATCACAACTATCAGATGCGTGACAAAACTCTCTGCAATGTTTTTTAAAAGGCTTAACCACATTCTTATGACTTGGTCAGTTCAAGCCATGAAAGATGTGTTTAAATACAGAAAAGATTTGCACTTGCTCAGAGAAGATGATCTTGGCTTATGGCACAATTACTTGTCTTGCTCAATTGTTACACATTTGCTTGGGTTTTCTTCCCCTTCACATAGTCACATGGAAAAACTATTCAGAAGGAACTTACATCTAAAGCACACCAGTCTTGCATCATTGAAATAACAAGTGTTAATTTCATCTGCAATGTAAATGCTGCTTCCCATTCTGGTTCCATTTCTATGTGTTGTCCTACTTGACGAGTTACTGGATCCATACCCTAGAACAAAAAGAATTATGCATTTCAACACTGTATCACTGAAATACGTTGACAACATTAGCGTAAGTGTGAGACAGTGGCTACCTGTCCTTATAAATATATTGTTGCTGTTACAGGAAAAAAGAAGCTTGGGACCATTTGAAAAGGAATTATAAACATTGAAATAATAACAAGAAAATGAAACAGGAATTGGAAGAGAAGAATACTGGGACAAGAAAGGTTTTGGATATGAGCTCTATTTATTACTAACACCCGCAGAGATTTCAGTATTACGAACAGTACAACAACGTTTGCATACATACATTATCTTACATACACATTTTGTTTTTTGAATGTATTTTCTAGGGACGTGCTATTAAATGCAGTTAAGTACTAACTAAAGACTGTGTACTACAGTACCTAATCAGCTCTTGGCATAAGAAGAAGAAAACCAGCATGGCCTGAGGATTACAATATATTCAAGAGACTATCATAAACAGACTAACAAAAGCTAAGTACCAAGAAAGGAATGCTACTGAAGTCCTGAAAAGCCGGAGTGATTCTGACTTATACCTTACTGATCATACAGTCGATTTGCCCTTGTAAAAGCCACACTGCTTTTAAAATACTCCTCTTACAGTAACATAGTACATGAAAAGGCTGGGGAAAAAAAACACAGTGAAGAGGTCTATTTGTATGTCAGGCACTACATATTCCTCAATACAAGGAGCAACTCTGCTGACACTTCAGCAGCAACTGGAGCTCTCACTTTGAAAGAAAGTTGGTTAAGATGGACCAGATTTTGCTCACACAATTAATTGTGTCTTGTCTGCCTGTATAGCTACAAAATATGCCCAAAATTACATTTGCCTTTTTGAACCACTCTTCCTTTCTACTGCCCTCTACAACAAACTAAATGAAAAAAAGTTAGGCGAGATGTTATGTTTCAGAAAAACATGACAACTCCAAAAGTTATACTGCACTGAAGTTATAAAATGGAGGGTACATTAAATTTCCTCCATTTTTATATCATGATAGCTAACTTCCTGCTTTAACACAGCGCAAATTTTGTAATTCACAGATTTACATACCTGCATACATTTAAGTAATTCTAAGAAGGCATCAAAACCCTCTAGGAACTTGTGCCTCAAGTCATCTGACCACTCAGTTGGCTTACTTATCAACACATACCTGGGTACATTAGAAAGATAAAAGTGTTAATTTTATGGGGTTTTTTTCCTCCTTAATCGATCAAATCAGCACATAGTTCATATACTTACTTGAGATCCAAAATAAGGCTCTGAACACGCCTGAATTTGAAAGCCTGCAGAGCAGTGTAACGTTCAAACTGAAACCTGCCTTGGATATCACGGTGTCTTAAGTGGTCCATAAAAGTTTTGATGATAGTGGTCATGAGATTTTCTTCCGTTATTAGCATTCGAGCCTATGCCAAAGTACATTGAAATTTGCTGTAATTAACAGACACAGCTAACAAGAGTTTCACACTGCACCATGAAGTTTACAGAACACATGAATTTTTATCCCAAATAGTTCAATAATTAAAACAGAAGAACATATTGAAAGCCAATCTTCCAAACATTCGCAGAAGAAAAAAAGTAATCTAGCCAGAAATTATCATAATCTAGATCTCTCTCTTCAGATCCCTTTTGTACAGAAGTTTGACCGTGGTTAGGCTCCTGCTAACCTACATAATTATGACACAAGACATATGTTATTTTGTGTCTTATAATTAACTTGTACCTCCCTTTAAGTATGTGTTGTCTCTTCTCATATAATTTAAGTATGAGCCCTTTAGAGGAGTAACAGCTCTTCTGCTTTCTGTTTACAAACTGTCAAGCACTGTGGTGAACAGTGCATCTTCTGAACTGCTAAGGAACTGTATAGTGCAATTTCCACATGGAAATTATGTGAAATGACTTAAGATTCCCCTCAAGGGCTACTGCATATATCCATGTGTTGTAGGAAACAAATGAACAGGCATTGTGAAGTCCAACAAAGATCATCTTCCACACCCAACCTAACCTAACCGAACCCCACAACAGAATAGGGGGCACTAAGAAGTTACTGACATCTCCTACTTGTGAGCTCTTCCAGAACTCCCCTATTCTGTCGGTGCTCCAAGGTAAATGGGATGAGTCTTGCAGTTCTCAGATCCCATGAGGATTTTATTATGTGGCTGGTAGAGTCAAGAAGATTGGCTACTCTGATCTACCTCACTGACACTGTGGTTGTTGACTAGAGCTTCTGGGTTCTACAGTTGCTAATGACACTCCAAAATACAGTTTCTAAAATACTACTGCGGGGGGAGATGGGGAGGGAAATCTTATGATTAACATTTTCCCCCAGAAACATCACTACCAGCACAATCACCCATCCTCCCTCAAAACAACCAACCTCCGTTACTTGAGAGCTCAAACTCTTAAATTACTAAGATCAGTTTGAAAATCATAGAATCATAGAATCGTTTAGGTTGGAAAAGACCTTTAAGATCATCCAGTCCAACCATTAACCCACACTACCAAGTCCACACTAAGCCAATCAAGGGTAGACTAGACTAAACCATGTCCCAAAGTGCCAATCTACCCGTTTTTTGAACACTTCCAGGGATGGTGACTCCACCATCTCTCTGGGCAGCCTGTTCCAATGCTTGACTACCCTTTCCGTGAAGAAATTTCTCCTAATATCCAATCTAAATCTCCCCCAGCGCAGCTTGAGCCCATTTCCTCTCATCCTATCGCTAACTACCTGGGAGAAGAGACCAACACCCACCTCACTACAACCTCCTTTCAGGTAGTTGTAGAGAGCGATAAGGTCACCCCTCAGCCTCCTCTTCTCCAGACAAAACAACCCCAGTTCCCTCAGCCGCTCCTCAGAAGGCCTGTTCTCTAGACCCTTCACCAGCTTTGTTGCCCTTCCCTGAACACGTTCCAGCACCTCAATGTCCTTCTTGTACTGAGGGGACCAAAACTGGACACAGTATTCCAGGTGCAGCCTCACCAGTGCCAAGTACAGGGGAACAATCACCTCCCTGCTCCTGCTGGTCACACTATTCCTGATACAAGCCAGGATGCTGTTGGCCTTCTTGGCCACCTGGGCACACTGCTGGCTCATGTTCAGCCAGCTGTCAACCAACACCCCCAGGTCCTTTTCGGCCAGGCAGCTTTCCAGCCACTCTTCCCCAAGCCTGTAGCGTTGCATGGGGTTGTTGTGACCGAAGTGGAGGACCTGGCACTTGGCCTTGTTAAACCTCATACAGTTGGCCACGGCCCATCGGTCCAGCCTGTCCAGGTCCCTCTGCAGGGCCATCTTACCCTCCAGCAGATCGACACTCCCACCCAGCTTGGTGTCATCTGCAAACTTACTGAGGGTGCACTCAATCCCCTGGTTACTGGGGGGGGCAGTGGGATGGTTTTACATTCTTCAACCTACTCATTCAGTTAAGAATGAATCCAAATAGCTCCAAATATATTAAAAACAATTCTTATTTCATATGGTATGAGCTTATTATGATTACTTTCATGTCCTGTCTATTCTATACTTCTACAAAACAGTTAAGAACAATTTGTTTTACTTTTTTTTGCAGCCTTTTGAAATAGAAAACATGTAAAAGGGACACTAATTATTCTCCTCTGAGGAAATTTTTAAAATTAATTTAAAAAAATGTGTTAATACACATATTCCACCACTCCATCTGCCAAAGGAAAAAATAATACTGTAACCATTTTGAATAGTACTAGTTGGTTAAGTCTAACTGTAATCTGAATACTGGCAACACTCTTATTGACAGCATCAAAATTAAAAGAGGTAACACAATATTGCCCTGAACCATGGAAACAAAATCCTGAGGACTTGTTGAATTTCCATGAATAACATCCAGCCCTAGGAAACTGAAAAACAACTTTGCTCAGCATCATAACTGCTATGCTACTATTGAACTTTAGAGCTCAATTAAGTTGATTAAATTTGGAAGGATTCAGAAGCATTCATTTTTTAAACAATTCTGGCTATGAAAATCAGACTTATTTGCAGTACAGCTCCAAAGTTTAATTTGTCTAGTTTGTAATGCAAGCAAAGACAGACTTATTTGGAGACTGGAGCAAAAAAAAAAAGACATTTCCCAAACAAGCATAAGCCAGTGAAAGACCAGCAGAGTTAGCGAGCTGGGAGAAGTTGCAGTGCCTGAAGCACCGTAACAAAAATTAACGGAAAACCTGAAAGAAGGCATCATCTGAGTCTAGAAGTACCAAAGGAAGTAGGGAATATCATGAGACAGTTCTTGCTTGCACTTGTGTTGACTGGAAAATTAACATAAAGTGGATCAATCATAAAACTGGACCAGAATGGTATGCTCTGAAACTGTGATATGCAAATATCACTGTGATAATGCAGACTGCTACAAACAGTAACTGTGGCTCAGTATGATGAAGAATTTAAATATTATATGTGTGTGTCTAAATAAAAATTTAAGTACCTTTCCAAAAAAAGTAAAAGAAAAATGTAAAAAGAAAAACCACAAATACCCAGCCCACTCTGGGAAGTCAGACTCAAACTTTGCAATGGTGAACACTTTACCGTCTAAACCCATAGCAATGTATGTAAACAGTCTGACTGCTGTGCAGCAGCAGCGCCGTGCATTTTCACAGTAATGTTAAAAGAAATCTGCAGTCTTGATTCAAGAACCCTGAGTTGCTTTTAACAAATAAAGATTTCCTTTTTTGGTCTTTTAGTACTTACAAGAGAAGGCACTGTGAATATCTGTATCGAGAGGTCAGCAATTGAGAACTCTCTGTCGTGGTCATCTTTCATAAAATCACTCTGCAATCGCTCATAGTTCTATTAAGAAGGAGGCAAAAAAAGGCAAGGAGTGCCAACTATCAGTTTTTAAAAGAAAGACAGGCACTACTCACCAGAGTAGGTACAGTGAAGAGTTGGACAGACAGAGCAGCCACCGATACTGCCCGTTCGTGATCATCCTCCATATAATCTCTCTGCAACTGCCGGTAATTCTAAACAACAAGGGGAAATTCACCTCTAATCCACACTGACCTGATTTTTTTTATTTAAATGTCTGCTCTGGGAAACTCTAATTCCATGATAAAGGGAAGAGTAGCTCTTACTGATTATTATATAGATATTTTGTACAAAGAACATGACAACTTAATCTGCTCACACGCGAGATCTACTCACTCTCATTTTCACAATAAAGGCTAATATTTTATTTTCTACTCAAAAAACTTATTTGTCTTCAGCAGAGTGAGCAGAATTTTGCAGTGCTGATTTAAAGCATTTCAAATACTAGTTACTACAGAAATACTAATCAGCATAACTGAATTTCAGCACAATTTCTGAGTAGTGCTATTAACAGCTTACACCTCAACAATGAGAAGCAATTAGCTCTTAAGAAGTGATAGCCTGTATAGTTGATGGTGAAGACAAAAACATCTGAACTGCTTTAGTTCTGGGGAGCCTGGAAAGCTCATTTTCTTCCCAGGAGATGAGATGCCATTATAACTAATATTTTGAAGACAGAAATAAGGTAGTCAGCATTTCAGTTCAACTTTGCACTTCTGAAAAAAGGAAAAAAAATTCTGGATAACAGTTCATTTGAAGCACTGCACACTAACTAAACTCTCTTCGCTAGATAGTTTAACCATTTAATAGCTCTTTGTAAGAGAGATACTTACTCTTGCAAAGCGGATAGCAAAAAGTTTCTTGTATTTCAAATCCATAAGTAGACTGCTCATGAATAACTGGTGATACACATTTCTAGCTCCTGTCAAGAAAAATGAATGAAATATTGCATGTCACTATTTTCTGTCAAAATATTATGGAAACGTTTAGAAAAGTAAACTTTTACAGAATGAGGTAAGTGTGCATTTTGGAGCAGAAGCTGCTTTGATTAAGTCTGTCAGGTGGTACCAAACGATGAAGAAGAATACATAAAACAAAATTCTTCAGGTAGCATTATTTATTACTCCTCTATAAGATAACACTGAGCTGTTGATTGGGAACATAAACCTTCAAATATAAGGCAAGTCAGGCAAACAAGAGCAGAACTCTATTCTTCCTCAGGATAAACAGAGGATTTAGATAACCCAGGGAAAAAAAAAAGAGCGTGCTATTATGAGAAGTCCTGGGAATTGCAATAAATTTTGTTAGTTGTGAACAACTCTGCAAAATAATCAGCTCAGCTATCTCTGAATTTCTAGTCTGTCTGAGCAGCATCCCAGAAAATATTATCAATACAAATGAGAATTGACTGTATGTATCTTGGAAATACATGCATGTATGTATTATTTATTTCTGCAGGTCACTTAAGTCAAAAGGCATTACACTATTTCTTTAATGCAGAGAAACCGTGGAATACATGAAAAAGTAGAGAAATATTGATGTTGAAATAGAAATGCAAATTAGTCCTTGCTTACATGAAAGACATTATCCTAACAAAACCTGTATTAAAAATGTTGTAATGGTCCACAATAGTACCTTTCAGATCACGAAATTTGAGGTAAAAAAAAAAATTAAAAGAAAATCTGAGTGCCAGGGATTCATTCACTCAAGACAAAGGTATAAGATAAACAAAACCTAAAAGAATAATTTTCTCCATACTACATCTGCTTTCCACCTTACTACTTACTGCTTTTGTTGCTGCTCCAAGAAGTCCCCAAGACAGACCACAGAGAGATATTACTACTCTCTAGGATATCTGTACCTTGGAACTCAAGAACAACAAAAGATACTGGGGGAGGGTAGCAATCTTCAAAACACTATATTCATGTTTAAATAAGGGAAGGACAGATATATTGCATCATTCTCTGCCTTCTCTTTGTGCTTCTCTTTCTTACACTTGGCCTTACACGCCCTTTCAGGATATCAAATCAGACACAGAATCCATGATGGAAAAGAAATTAACTATCTCCACTTCCTCAACATTACAACTTTCTAGCCAATGCCATTATATCAATCAAGCTTCTAAAATTTTAAGGGCTCCAAAAAAACCAGAACAGTAGTTTTCACTGAATGTTCTAGGAACACTTAAGAATACCTCATGAACACAAACACAAGTTAAAGCAGAAAACCCTCTGTCCTATCACTTAAAGAGAGGCATGTTGGTAGATATGATATAGATGCTGAGATCCTATAAAACAGACAAACCCCAAGTCACTCTATTGTTTACTCAATTTCCCTCAACTATCACTGTCATCTGTGTATTCAAGTCAGCCTTAATTTCAGACTACTTTGAAAAATTAGATCTAAAACCAATCCCATCCCAAATGGTCTCCTTATATTCTTGTCTTCAATATATTTGGAGTGCATCATGAAGAGAGAGATTATCACAAATCAGACAATTCTATCTATAATACACCACAGTAAAAATGATCAAACATTAGCAGATATGGTAAAGGGAAAACTCATATGCATAGCATCGTTCAGTATTTTCCAGAAGTTTGAGAAAACTCACCTTTCCACAGTTTAGAATCATACAGCATCAGCTTATCCACAAGAGAAGAATTTTCACCATCTGGCCCCTCCTGCAAACCAACTTGACACAATATTCGACGAAGGCCATCTTAATGACAACAAATGATATAAATTAGTTATTAGCTATAAATTAGCTTAAACGCTAACTTGTACATTATTTTGATGTACTGGAGTTTTCATAAGACACAGTATAAGCCATAGAGCCTTCTTTTCCTTGACAACTGAGTAACACTGCTCATATTTTGCTGACAGAAACATAAACATTTCATACCTTGCAAGTTTCGCATTGACCTCAGGGAACATTAAGAACCCTGAGAAAATTGCCAAACACAACGATTTGCTTCAAAGTTATTAAATAAAAATGTGCTTTCTTAAAAGTGCTGCTGCCTTACTAATATGAGAAATACTTATACAGCAGGCTAATTTTCTAGGCTTTATTTTTCCTGTTTAGAGTCCTAGCAAAATGAAAATATAATTCATATATGAAATGACTCATATACTCATGAGGTTTTTGCTTACACTTACTAGCTGCTATTATTTTAAAGCTTCTATATGTATTTTCTTCTAATGGAAAGCAGTAATAATTGTTTTTATATGAACATGTAAGTTATTATATGCTGGCAGACAAGCCTGCATCTGCAGCAGAACACAACACAGACACATTTATATTAACCATGTTCAACCTAGCTTCACACTGCAGGTAATGCATATTCAGTAACACAACTCTGTGACACATTAGCCCTTATTTCTGCACACTGCTTAGCCATCTCAGCTTCTTAGGTAGAGTTGGCAGTGGCTTAGTGCCATGTATACCATACCATGTGCTGCATGGTGCAATTCTATACAGTTTGTGAACCCCTATAGCAGTCTGGGTTGGTTGTTTTTTTTTTTTTTGCCTTGCAGAGTTCAGTTCCAACTACTGTTATGAAGGGAAACAAATTAATGGAAACTACTGCATTGTTCTACAAATGGCAAACAGATGCTTATTCTTGAAGAACTGATATTTGCTAGAAATGATGTGGTAGTCAAGCTTGCGACAAAGTTCCGTAGTAAGGTTTTTCCCTTTATTCACTGACAAGAGTTTGACACTCATTTCACAGCAACCATCCGGCACAGCAGAAGACCCCTCCACCTGCCAATCTCCCTTTGCTCAGAGACATTTAAGTGTAACCACCCAAGCAGTGCAATTCTATCACCCATTATTACAGATGAACAGTAACAGGCTGTTTAAAAGATTGAGCAGAATCTAGATGTTTCGGTGTGTTTGTCAAAAAGCTAAGGAAAACCAACTTTTTCAAAATTGCATTTCACAAAACCAGACTCCAGAGTACATTGCAAGACTGCATCCCAAGGTGTGTAAGGCATTTCAAGTACCTGAGCATGTGGGTCACAGACAAAACAGATGCATGCTGCTTACCATCTAATATTATTTTTGCCCTTCTGAATCATAAAGGACACTGCATTTAAATGAAGTGGACTCTGCAGAACTTCAGAAACACCACACACACAAATCAAACTAAATTGAACACTTTCATCTGTAATTTGATACTTCATTAACATACTAAAGTTACTTTTTTGCAACTGTAATTTAGTGCTGAAAATTAGTGACTTAGGTACCTGGCACAAATGATATGGCACAAAACTGGGTTTAAAGAATATGAGAAAGACAGTGCCTGCCTACATGTTACACTGAAAGGAAAATTTATTTCAGAAATTAAATATCTTCATGTCTCTCCTTTCTATTAATACCTATCATTTGCCAGCAACACTGGCAAATAGTTGAACAAATTGCTACCATAACTTTTGAAAAGTTTGATTTGTGTATCTTTAGAAATTGACTCTATGCAAACACAAACTATTTATCTTTCAAAAAATGTAACATGATATAGCAATCCTGTGCCTGAAATCTTGCTAGTTTTCCAGCTATCGGTCTAATAAAACATACAATCTCTGAAGAAATCTTGCACCTACGCAGAACATATGTGCAATATTACACTTGAATGTGCTTTGCTAATAATTCTTGTTACATTTACAGATGCATAGAACACAAAGTGCATTGGAGACTGCATCTACATTTCTACATATCAGCAGTTTGACACATTTTCCTTTTATTTCCCCTCATGCTCCACATCTTCACCACCTTATGATTCATCAGGACAAAGGAGGAACCAAGCCAAAACAAACACAGAGCCTTCCCATAAAAATGATACTGTGATATATCCTTTGAAGAAACCTCTTTCTAAATATCTGATTAACACTTTGTTGGTTTCTGTACTTACCCAAAACCTCCACACATCCTTGCATTTTCTCTGTTTTACTTAGCAAAAAATCTGAAGCAATCACTTTCACCATCATTCATCAAATTGCTTCTGAATAATTTTGTTTTATCGAATCAGACAGGTTATTTTCAACTTACTGCATTCATTTAAAAAGAACTAGGGACTGAAAAAATAGCAGATTGGCACACAGCATTTGACAACGATTCTCAGCTTCTGTTCAACAGCAACTAAACAGAAAACAGTATCCAAGAAGACTAAGTACGACTGGTAGCACTTTCATATGGAAGACAGAACTCAGAACAGCGCTCCAATAAGAGAAAACAGAATTCAGTCTGACAAGTTATTAATAGCTTTGCCTTATATATTACATATCTGAAATAAGTAGACAACATTGCTTCAGGAATTCAGCTTGCCTCACAAATATTCTCTAGCTTATCTCAAAAAAGTTGAAGTTTGCCCACCTGAATATCCAATAACACTGCCAAGCCAGGTTAGGAGCTTCAGACCAAAGCTCTGATGGGCAACAATAGATGAATGCATAACTTGTACTTTCAATGGCTTTGTCTGACGACTGGTGTTTCTCTTAAAAAGAAAAGGAAAAAGGAGGTAATGCATATTTAAGTGAGGACCAGCAGATATTTCTGTACAGAAACACAGCATTCCTATGATTAATTTCAATAATTTATAATATTAATACATATTCTAATTACTAACACCTACATCGGGAAGAAACAAAACCAAAAAGGTCTGAACTTTGTTTACCCTATTAATATTTGAAGGACTTTATTATGCAATATCAACATATTCAGGCCAATCCATTTTCCACTCGGCCTCTTATCACTGTACACACTGATCTGCTGCATTTTACTCATAAGCAGTCCCAGGCACAACCAAAGACAGCCATACACACTTGTTCCTCACAACGTGACATGCAAGTCACACAGCAGCCCACCAAGGACAGAAATGGATTGTCCATGGGCTATTTTCAATAATACAAATTAAACACACAGAGTTGAAACAAGAAGGAAAGTATTTCTCCTCATCTCTGTGTTAGTAACCGTAATAGTTAGACATTACACATAAAAGCCATTTGTCCTTTGACTGCATAGGTGGCAAGTTAAAAATATTGCACAACTTCAAAGATACGTTACCGTTTTCAAAATACCTTAAATAGTTTAAGGCCAGTAACTCTAGTTGCAGTATTTGTTTTTCAGTGGTAGCAGTATAACACATAAACTATTTACTTCATGTGATTAAGTACTGCACTGCAGCAGTTAAAGAAAAAATAAATAGAAAATATTATTACATGGAAAACCCCTGTAATATATAGATATTATGAATACATATACACACAAATAAATACACACATGCAAAATAAAAGTGTATTTGTAGTTTCACACTTGGATTAAATCAGTAACAGTTTCCATAGCTGTAGCTGTGAAAGAGGCAAATAACTTCATATTATAGGAGAAAAACTGAAATATTTTAACTTCACTGATCTGAACTGACATGCAATTCTAAAAGATGACATCTGAAGTTCCTGACCAAACTCTGTTTTCTGAAGGGAAAAGTTGTCTAGGAACGTCTTCTTAGGGAATGATTTTAGGTGCAAGGCAGACCATAGTGGAAAAAAAGAAAAAAAAAAAAAAAAAAAACAACTGAGCATAAACCTGTATTTTGATACCTCTACTGTGCATATTGTAAATAGTATCTCCAACACTTTGTATTATTAAAATATAAAGAGTTATTACAGTAACAATATTCCAAAACTGTGTAGCAAAGCCTCTTGTTGCTCAAGATGAGGCAAATAAGTAGGTAGTATTACTTACCACTATTACTGATTTTGCTTGATCGCAGTACTGAAAGTCTCCATATCGAACAGACCTACGTCCCTTTAAATTTGTAAAGAAGTAACATTACCATCAGCTTCTAAATGCTGTGTTTTACATTAGTATAAAAGATACAGTAAAAGTTTCAGATGCACATTAACGACTCTTGCTTTCATGCTATTCTAATTTTTTTAAATTACTGTATATAGTTACATACTTGAGTTCCCAAAATGTACCCTGTACTTTTTAAAAGAAAATAAAATTATACCATATATGCAGTTACCTGTTATACTAAATTTTCTGTGTATAACATTGTTTTTAAGATGTAACCATCACACTTTTACTTAAAATACCAAAACCTTGTCTTTAGTACTAATGCATCAATCATTAGTTGCGGTACAATTTAAATATATTTCAGACATTTCAATGTCTTCTGAAAAGTAGGTATGAAAGCTAATTGGTCTTTTAAACATACAACTAAAGCACGTGGTTTATTTCAAAACTGGAAGGTTTTCATATCATGCAAGTCTTTCTATACTGTCAATACATACATTAAAATAGATAGTTGATTCAATTTATAGCGTATTATAGACAGAATAGCTCACTGAGATTTTAGATCTGGTCTGATGCCAAATTACTGTTTCAGGCATAACCTCATTTCTTTTACATACATACACATGTGCACATATATATATGCATTCATGTGTCTATTTAGAAGTAGGACAGGTATCAACAGCAGGGAAAAATTTCCAAAGTGTATCCTACAATACACAGCATGTGCTCAAGTCAGCACGCATTCAGGGATCAGACAGGAATCTTTTGGTTACTGGTGTCACAAAAATAGAGTAGTGATAACACAAAACCAAAATCTAGTTCAGTGTTAAGTAATATAAAGTGGTTATATTTCCTTTTCCACTGACCTTCCTAAAGTAATTTAACAACCCAAAACAACACTCTCATTGCTGTTTTGGAAGAGACTTCCCCCCTCGCACCACCCCCCCTTAAAAAAAAAGGTACAAGCCAACAAAACAACATAAAAGGACACTCATTTTCACAGCAACTGCTTACAGGCTCATGGCACAAATAACAAGATGCAACTGTCCCTAGAAAGTTTCCCTTTCTTAAAAAATGCACACAAGCCAGAACACAAACAGAGCTGGCAGAGTGCTTCTGAGACCGACATACTGGTTAAAATTATATTCAATATGTAGTGATTCTGAACTCATTGTTCTTTCTAAATGCTGTATGAAATGCTTTACCTCCTCCCGCCATTATCATCTGACATTTATGAAAAAGAAAATTAAATTTTAAAAAACCACAAATACTTCCATGAGCACCGGAACAAAAGCAGCCAATTATGGATTTTATCCCTCACAGTTGACTGGTGTTACTCTGAGAAGCATTTCCCATGCTTGGAGCACATATAGCGGCTCTTTCAATGTCAGCTCCTTGGTGTACAGTAAGGGATGAGCTAAAGCTGCTGCCTGTCCTTGACAGAGGAGAGACACCCTGCTATCTACACTCCCAAGAGTTAATGGAATACAGTTACACTGAAACATATATTCAATATTAGGTCTGGTTTGGGTTGGCCAATGAGTTAAGACATTTTAGGGTGGCCTGACACACAGGGCTCAGCTACATATAACCACACTCTTTGGGAAAACAAAATAAAGTGTAGTCATATAAAATAAATATTAGGGTAAGTATAATTAAAAGTTCTAGCAATTAATTTACTTACATCTCTATCTACTGTTGTTGCAAAACCAATAGCTTCCTTCTGTGTGCAGTTGACAGCCTTCTGAAGAGTATAAATAACTTGTTCATAGGTATGGACTTCATCATTAAACAGCATGCAGTAGTAAGTGTCACTCTTCTCGCTTCAAAGCAAGGATTGAATTTATGTAATTCAAAGTAATGTAATTAAAAAAAAAAAAATCACCTCCTAGTTTAAGAAAGTTTTCCACCAAGCAGACAACCCAAGCCTGGCTTCTTTTGCTATACTGGAACATACCTCAACAATTTATTTGAAAAGGACTGACCATCCCTAATCTCTATAGGAATGTGCATCTTTCCTGCAGAATTAAGTCCAAAATGAACAAAATCTTAAGACAATACTTAAGGCTGAGTATTATCTTTGAACATTGGTTGATTATGGATTGATAGTTTTCTACTAAGGAAAACACATTTCCTTTGATCGCAGCTGTGCTCAATACATTCCCCCATAGCTTCTTAAAGATTTCACCGGTCTTGGCATTATTTTGCCACACCTATTCCCCCAATACTGCATAAAGGTCTATTAGACAACAAACACTTGGCAGTCTCTTAAAAAGCTCAAACTCCACAATCCTCATAATCACAGCTTACTACGCTTACACAGATTAAGTGCAATCTTTTGATTCCCATCATTTATTGACACAGCATTCTTACTCACACAAAGTAAAAGAAGTTACTAACAAGATGTCACAAATGAATCCATGATAACTATGCTGTTACAATACACTTAAATATTCTGTAATGCTTCAAAATTTGTAGTAAGTGGATCACCGAAAGTACAAAATACTTTTGCCATCAGAATTTCAGTAATTTTGATCATAAGAAATTAACCTGCCACTAGTTTTAGGGTATTGTATTTTACTTATACTTCTTTTTCGATATTAAGAAAACAAAGGTATCACAAAGACATTGTTTCATTATCACTGTGGAGAAGAATGGGCTGTATAATCACAAAAGTAAAAAATATGAGAAAAACAAATGTATTAAAATTATTTTAGTCCATTGTCTACAAGATATTCCTGGCAATTTTAGGAAAGGCAGAAAATAGACTTAAAATCAGAATTTGCATTTTCTATTGTGAATATCTGCAAGCCTTTGAAAGGCAGAAGATGAATTCCATACTTACATCATTTCTAGGCCAGGCAATTCATTTTCCTTTTCCCATGTTAATATATCTACTGCATATTTAAATGTGATGGCAAAAATATTATAAGCTCTTGCTACCATATCTTCTGGTAACTGCATAAGAGGATCCTGAAAAATAAAAATAAATAGCAATTGAGAAATTAAATGACATTCAAAACAGAAATTGTCAAATTTGCACCTCTCTTTGTCAAAGATGATGTAAGCATCCTAATGATGTTTTTCTTTAAATGACTTTACATTTGAAAGCAATAGTCAACAATCATCCTGTTTTCTTTTTCCAGTTCTTCACTGACAATCACCAAAACAGTAATCTAACATTCAATACCTAAATGTTAACTTGCCTCTGATCACCCACTTAAATTCACACACTTCTCCATTTTCACTTGCATTGTTCCCACTTCTGCACACCTTCTAAGATAGTCCTTCTGAAGAACTTTTAACCTTGGCTGTACTAAAATCTGCTTTTTCCGCAATGCCTTCAAACAACGTAATTTCAAATCACTATCTTTTGTTCCACTTACCAATGTTAGTAAACTGCAGAACACAAACGACTATGTGCTACATATAAAACAAGGCAACAGATGCATATTTAGAGGCAGAAGTCTTATCTATCCAAGGTTATACAACATACAGCACACTGGGATCATGATTTATGATGCATGTCTCTTACATGCTGTTGCATAAAAATAATTAAATGCTTAAATGTAACTAGGTATTTCATAATGATCTGCCCATATCTCAGTCTTGTTCGCAGACAGCTGTTCCCCTTTTGTTCGTGGGCCGTGCACCCACTTGTGCCCACTCCACACTCTCCAGGCCGCCCTCCATTTGACATCGGCAGCCACTATAAACTCGTTCTCCTCTCTGCCAGAGCAGAATGGCTGCTGCTGCAGGTGGGGGAACTGAAATGAGGAAAGGGAGGAAGAGGAGTGCTGCTTCAGTCTGCAAAGTCAAAGGGACTACTTTTTGGAGCAGCAAATGAGAACCACTGCCAACTCTGCATCAGGTAGTACAGGTACCACTGCCATTTCCTTCCAATCCATTTCAAGGGATTTGTATGTGAATAGAAAACATTAAAAACCTCTTCTCTGATTCTTCTTCTACTATTTCAAATTTTTGATATTCAGAACAACTAGTACCCCTTCTACAAAGCTGGAAAGGGAACACTGCGTGTCCTGCAGGTCACCTGGACATGGGTCACTGACTCAATTCATCATTTGGTATTTGGTATTTTGAAGTATGTGTAATTGTTAGCCCATTAAAGTATTTAACAGTAGCCCAGTTCCTGGTTTAGGATTACCTAATACCAGATGCTGCGTTCCACTACAGTTTATGTTGTATAAAAATGGCCACAATAATCTTTTCAGAACTTAAATCTGCATTATCTACAGGAGGCCCTTGAAAGTCAGCAATTCACCTGTACTAGTAAAGTTTATTCACCCACCCACCCCAAGATTCTTTTGGAATATTTGGAAGCTTTACAGGAGTGTTAATAACTGCCATTTCTCTTTTTTTGCTTCATTTAAAACTTATCTAGGGCATGAAGAACCATCAGTCACCAAAAGCAAAGGCAAATCTTAAGCAACAGCACTGCCTCCATTCCCAGTGCTTTCAACAAAGACACGTACCTGGGGGTAAGGCAGAAAACAGGCTCTGATAATGCTCAACAAATGATCCTTGATCTACCTTGAACACAACATTGTGTAACATAAGAGATGTCAATCCCCATCACTCACGGGGAAGAAACACAAAGCCTGCCCAGTACCTTAATTTTTCTGTTATTCACACTCATTGTGTGAGTATCTTTGGACACAGAAGTAGCAGTCCACCCAAGATATCAGAACAACAGTTTTCTAAGGCTGCCCACTAACATAAACTGGCGTGTAGATCAAGTGGTGAGTCCACGCAGCAGTGCTAGAGTCTTAGGGTTGAGAGAGTGATAACAGATTTTAGAAGGACCACTGTCGCTGCAAATACAGTTACAGTCGCTTCACTTAAACCATCAAACAACAAAATTACTACAAAAATTTGCCTTATATTTTTCCCTTCCAAAAAAATCTCACAGAAATTATATTACATAAGAACAGATGTGAGTGGCTAGACCAGAACCCAATTTAGCCACTCTCATTCCTGAGATGTAATAACAGATACTAAGAGAAGAGTGTAAGAAAAGGACAGAATCCTCCTCTGGTCTCCAGTAACTTAAGACACTAATACCTCCCACACCAAGGATGGTATCTGCAATTTTTAAATGGCCACTGATCATTTTTTCCTTCCACAAACATGTTAAATTTCCCTTTGAACACATATAAACTTTTAACAACAATGGCGTTTTGTAACAGTTAGTCCAACTGCTTGAATTTATACTGTAAGAAGTAGCATGTCTTTCTGCATTTAATGTGTCCAAGTTGTTATGCTATGAGAAATGGTGAAGATATGTTCTCTATTTACCTTCTCCATACCAAACAAGCTTTTATAGACCTCTGTCTTATATCTCCATTATGGCTTTCCTGTAGCAGCAAATTATTTTGATTTAAAAAATCTGTGCACTTTATTTTGGTATGAATCAGAACATATGCTGCACAGACAGCTTAATTTGGCTTCTTCATGCACATGACTACATACAGATTTTTTTTTTTTTCACGTGGCAGACTCCCTTCACCTTTCAGAATAAGACAGAAAAACAAAGAAACAGAACCAAAGCTGCAGAGGCAACCAAAACCATACAAAATAAAGTCTTCAAGTAGAAAATGTCATTCTATATAACTCCTTAAGTTAGACAAGACATTAATTTTGTCTAACTCATAGTCTGGTTCAAGTATTACCATTAAATTCCCTCCTATCTCTCACACATGGTGTACAAAACTAAAAATAACCTCATATGAATGAGTTTTTTATATATATATACACACACATATATACACGATTAACAGTGTTTTGAAACATGATGTCTCAACTGTTGTTACCTCTTCTTCTGCAGTCTCTGAAGTGTTAAGTTCGTGCTTTTGACAGTAAGGACCTTCTTTCCAAGCTTCTGTATCACCACAGTCACAGAAACCTCCCCCACCTGATGTTGTCATCTAAAATTATTTAAAAACGAAATGGTTCATGTGAATATGCATATACATACGTGCACATTAAGAAATGAGTAGTCATAGCTAAACTACAAAAGCATCATCACACAACACCCAATAGCTTTAGCCAGTACTCTGTTAAAAAAGCACAGTGAAACCATGCCTGTTTCTATGATAGCTGAAAGCTTATCTACTTCATCAGTCTGCCCATGCCAAAAGTTAGTTTAAAAAAAAAAAACAAAACCAAAAAACATCACAAAACCAAAAGCTTCAAACACCCTCATTCTGCCCCACGTGAAGGATGTGGGATTTTTCTGCTTTTCAGTTCTTCTGAATCTATTACTTGCAATGCCATCTGTACTATTTCAGATTCTCACATTTTTAATCTGAACAAAGCTAAATCATTTCATACAGCGCTACTACACAGTGAGTAAAAGATGTGCTGTTTACAGTCACAGAGTTTACACACAAAACTTACAAATTGTCCACTTAAGTCTTAGTAAGCATAGAAAAAAATATCTGAAAACTGTAATGATACATTTACACTGTTTTAATAAAATGGATTTTAAAGCTACGATCACCTTGAATTATTAAGTGAAATAATACTCTTTTTGAACTATTAACTGATACATAGAAGAATTCTTCTTTCACCTATTTTTGGCATACAGGTACGTTCTGTACATACAGGTACATCCTACAGTATCAAGAAAATTAGAGGGACATTCGAAACAACATTTGCTTTTGGATGTCACCTAGACTTGTTAATTCACTAAGCTTGCAAACTAAAAACCTACATACAAGAAGCATGCTGATACCAGCGAATTGGGTTGGGTTTCTTGGGGCAAGTTGTGTTTGTAGGTTTGGGGTTTTTTTCCCTAAATCCTAGTGCTCAGTGTAACCATGCAGTGATTGGATTTACACTAACAGCAGTGCAGTATTGTCAAAACCAGATTTACAGAAATGCACAGGTAGTTTTCACTTATCATCTTAGTTTAAGAACACACCAAGGCCTTCTTGGTTTTGTTTGTAGGTTTTTTGAACTAATCTGTACTACTAATAGCATTAGACTACTAAAATAAACAGCATCTACAGTTTTAGTTTGCTATTCTAACTTTATGCTTAAAACCAAACAAAAATCCTGCTATTGTACAGAATTTCATAACAATTCAGATGTTTAAAGGAAATAAGTTTTAAATAAAAGTGGTTTCTTAGTAAAGGTTTTTCAATACCTTTTAAAAATAGGTCAAAGCAAGTCAAAAAACAACTCTAATTCTGTAAAATACACTAAAAGGCCCATGTTAAAAATAACATACATTTGTAAGCTTAACTGTTGTGCATAAAATTTAATTGCTTGATATTTTAAAGTGTTAACTTTCAGAATTTACAGTCAGAACAAAACACTCAAGTTCCTGTAAATTATTGCAGACGTAATTCCAAACTTTGTGTTCATCTAACATTTTGAAATTATGTATACATTCTTAAAACATTAAACAAGGAGTTTCATACACTTAGAAAATTATTAATGGCTACATCATATATTCCAGCAGTATTACGAACCCTGTATCGGTGCTCTCTATGAATACTTCCAAGAAAGCACTCCATGCATAACACACAAGTTGGGTCAACCGCACAGTCCCTGAAAACAGCAAAAAAAAATGGGACGCAGCTTTAAACAAATGTTTCTGCCTTTAATCACATATTTTACAACAAGTAATTTTCAAATATCACCAATATGAACCTTCTGTCTAACATATATATTCTGAAAGAGGAAAGGGATGGCTTCCAAGGAGGGGGAAACAAATAAAGGAGAAAAAAATCTGTTCTCGTAACAGAAGAGGCTTTAAAATGCTGTCTAGGTAGCATATATATTTGGGCAACATAGCCATTGCCTTCAAGAGATAAGACAAGTATATAAGCAAGTAAACAGATGAATTACAGAACACTGTACAGGAAGGTAAACAGTATAAATGCAAGCAAGTTCTCTCAAGTGCAGAGTACAAGCATTAACAATCTCCAGCAATCACAGAAGACATTTTTTCACTGAACACTGGAAAGAAAGATAGCACACAACAGATTAGATCAAACCTCTGCTTCTAAGTTTAGCCCTACAAGCTCACTGAAGAGGTCCGAGAATGCAACTTCCTCAACCAGGAGATCAGAAACCATAATAAGATCCAGTCTACAGGCACTGCTATATTAGATAGAACATTTCTAGCAAAAGGGGCTAAACAAACGAATGAGACAATTACGCATTACATTTAACTGTCTCCCTGAGAAACACTGAAAATACATGAACCTATGTAATGCAACTGACTCCAAGGCACCTCCAGATTAAGGGAGTCAGGTTTTGCAATGTAAAAATAACTACCAAGAGAATTAATGTCTTATGATGGCTATTATTAAAACAAGAATTCAGAGAGACAACTTATTTTGTTCAAAACAAAACACCAGAGATCCTATGAAATGTTATTATCAAGAATTATCTTAATTTCATTTCACCAGATAAATTAAACCAGGTAATTACTGAAAGATGATCAGGCAACCATAACTTACTATGCATAAAGTACCATTTTCACATTTGTTTTCTCCAGAGGAGTCACTAAAGGTGAAAATGTCAAAGTAAAATTATACAAAGCTCTTCTGGTTTAGAATAATTTATGTTCATGGCATTTCTTTTTTTTTTAATTAAAAAAATCAAACCCACTTATATGCCTACAGTATTGGGCAGATTAGTTCTACAATACTGGGTATCGATTCTTCAGAGCCCTAAACTTCTGGCAATACACTTACAAACTCAGAACCATTTGCCAAGTAATTTCTCAAACAAATAAGGGTGCTTATACCTAAAGCAGAGGCAGACCTGCAAGCTTCACAACTGGACAGAAAAGCCACTGCTTTTAATGTATTTCATGGACTCAGAAAACAATTATTTTCTGTATCTCACAAAAGTTTGATTTAAACTCTCATTATTCTCCATTACCGAAGAGAATTAGTCAAAGAAAAGTATTAACACACAACAGGAAACATTAACAGTTTTACATCTATGTTCAGTACTTAATTGAAAGATGAGACTTCATCTTGATAGCAGCAACAGCAAAAATATTCTGTATTCACTGCTGACCCTGACTTGAGCAGAAGATCAGACAAGATGGCCTAGTAAGACGTCCTTTCTAAGCTGAATAATTATATTGCTGTATTTAAATAATTTTTCTACTGAAACAAAGACCCTGAGTATAAACAGTACTCTCACTCATTCTCTAAATTCTACACCAATGGACTGCATTATTCTATGTTTTCACCATACCTGACAGTATTCTCAAGGATATACTTCATATATTGAGTTGTCGGTCTTGAAAAAACAAGTGTTTAGAAGAAATTAACAGAAATCCCACAGTTTTCATTAGACCATATAAAGAGCATTTGATCATTAACTTATTATTCCTAAGCTGCAATGCAATTTGACTTGAATTAAAACACTAGTTCTAAGGTTTGGGTTTTTAGTTCTTTGGGACCAGATTTCATTAAAAGGTACTAAAGAAACTGTGGAAATTCTTTTTATAACCTTTGATAGTACTCAGCCTCCCACTCTCTAATTCTCTACCCAGATCTCTCCACTTTTTCCCAGGTGTGAAGGAAGAACCTAAAAACACCTGAGAGGAGATAGTTTTCTTAGCAGTTGAAAGGATCTAAAGTACTCACCAGTTTAATCTCATCCATCTCAAGATAACAGGTCTCAAAACACTTCCAAAACTACCTATTCTAACTGATCATTGAAACAGAAAAGCAGCAGTGGCAGCTTGCTGAATTAAGTATCTCAAGTCCACCCTGAATCAGAACTTCAGCGAGTAAGGCCAGTAAGTTTCTAGAAAAGAAGGGCACTAGAGAGTAAAATTCTTCTACAATCATTCTCTCCTTGTAAGTGAAGGGGATGGAAACCCAGAAAAATAAACCCTCCAAATAAGACAGACATTCCCTCCCCCCATCACCCCACTAAGCATGCATTACACCTGTGTTAGCATCCAATAGATTGGTTAAACAGGTCATGGAAAGAGGTCTAAAATACAGCTGATATTAAACACCTGAATTACACACACATACACCTACCCACTTACTTCTGATTAATGCCCTTAAATCACACTGACAATTCACCCCAACCACTTTCTTAATCTTGCATTTCTTTTGTACAGAAAACACTCTGCACTAATTAATATTTTTCCTATTTACAAACCTGTAGTGTGTTAATTTTCCCCTGATCCCACCTGTCATGAAACACTTCAAGGTTACTTTAAAATACATTTGGGGTATTAACTTTTCATGAGGACAGTATATTCTTATTGAAAAATGTTCCACGGCTTCACAAATTATAAATACTTCACAATGCTAAGCTGAACTACCTGCAAGAATAGGTAGGCTCTCCCACTTTAAAAACGCGGCCACAAAGATGGGAAGGTTTGTTCGCTTGCTCAAGCTTTGGAAAACCAAATGCAGGATCTTCACCACAAAGGTACCATTCCATTGGTCCCAGCAAAACGTGTTGTGCCAGCATGTCTTCTCTTTGTGGGGCAGGGTTAGGACCCCTGCAGTAAATTTTTGGTACATAATAGGCCAGATGCTGGTATACTTCTTTCTGAAGGTCATTTGCTTGCAGCCATTTCTTTTAAATTAAAAGGAAAGAGAACACAAATCATTCATTAATAAAAATACCAAACACAGTTCTATCCATCAAGATGACTTTTTTCTTTCTAAATCAAAAAGCTAAAATGGCATTGAAAAACTAGAAAGCCATGCTTCCTTCCAAGTGTTAAATCTAGATGATCAAAGAAGACAGACATTAGGAAAGGAATAATTTGTTTCCCTGCTTGCACATTTTACCTTTTTGACATATAAAATTCATTTCAAAACCACAAAATTTAAGATACCAAATTCTTAAAAATTTTCCTCCAGGGTGCATGACCAGTAAAACGTCCCAACATTAGCACTGACTTTTAGGATGAGGCCCAAACTATGCTGGTTGCATTTCTCTGGAGTGCAGACTGATGCTGCCAGCTGGGGACACAGGAGCAGCGGAAGCCTAGAGTTGGCAAGTAACAGGCAAAGACAAAAAGTACAAGGAGAATGGCAAACACAGTATTAGGTAACAGTCCCTCTCTTATTTAATTTCAAGAAATTACCTATGAAAATGAGGGGGTCTGGTTTCTCCTACCACCAAAATAACTTATCTGAATTACTATTTCAAGTGTGATGTTAGATCCATAAATTCTCTTAGTCAATCAACTGTAAAAAACAACATTGACAGTTTTTAAAAGCCATCAAACTACTGTACCTGCCATAAGCCACTGAAAAACTCACATCTCATTCTAGGTTTTTTCCCCTTGTATACACACACAGAGTAAAAAAAAAAATCCTCTAGGACAACATTTGTTTCATTTCTGCCTTGTGGATTACAATTTTATAAAGGTTTAAACTATAAATTAAGGCTGCAAGGTTTTTATAATAAACAAATGGGAGCAAGCACATACTGCAAGTGTGCACCGATTAAATCCTGCATTACATAAACAGCCTTAGTATGCCATTTCTCATTGTAAATATGACAACCAGATACCCCCTGGCAACTTCAGACAAAGAATTCACAATCAACCTAAAACTGTACATGAAAACCAAGAATTAATTATACCAAAATAAATGGGTTTGGTAATCAAATGTTACAGCTTGATTTACTCTGAATTATTTATGACTTACTCTTAAGAACTTATGTTTGAGACAACACAGCTGTAGTAAGTTCTTCAGGACACAGAGTCAGCAGTCCATTTGTGCCTTTTAAGAATGGCTGCATTTTTGCCTTTTCTTTTTTTAATATATTGTAGTATTTTAATTTACTATGTTTTCTAAAGCAGAACTACATATAAAAAAAGTATTTGTCAGTACAGGTCTTAGTAGAATAATATGCATCCCTCACTTCTCTTGCCTTAAGTTTGACTTTTTAAAATCATAATCAATCTACTAAATCTTTCTGTATTGATCTAGCTTTGATGGTCAAAGCCCAGAATTTTTCCAAGGAAATCCAGAAGTCCATGGGAGAAGGTTGCCAAAAAGCCGTATGCAACTATCTAGAAGTTTACAGATAATCTCACCATTCCCACCAGGATTCAGAGAATACAGCACAAAAATCTAAAAAAGTAAAGTTTTCATTACTGAGAATCTAATTTGCTTTTTTCCCAAGCTCATTAATCTTTTCCTCTCCTGTCATCATTTGTCACCAAATATCTACTACTGCCAGGAACTGACCCAATCACAGTGAAACTGACTTAGTCTCTTCCATGATTTCCATTTAATAAGATCATTTTTTAGATTATTTTCTAGGGCATATATTAGTTATTACGCTTGCATTTTTCTCAGCAAAATACCTTTAATTTCAGACTTTTAATTCAGCAGTACATTACTAATTTCTATCTAGAAAATACACAGGGCATATTAGCCACACTACAAGCTCAGACAAATACCTAGCCAGCGAAAATTCTTGTTCCTCGAGTAAAACGGCTTTCCCGTCCCAAAGATTCTGGGAGTAGTTGCCTGAAAGTTAGGTGTGGCAACACTGAATGTCATCACACCTAAATCTCTTTGTGGTGCCGGTTCTATACATATAACTGTGCATATAGTTTTGAAAATCAGATCCTGGCTAAATGAATATCAGAAGGATGTACAGGCTACTAGGAGAAGGAAACATGTCACTCCAAGAGCTACTAGGAAGGCAACTCAAAATACTGTTGTGCATGTAAAATTGTTCCTAGAAATATACACATACGTATACTTATGTTGCACTGCCTTTCTAAATCACTGCCTGGGAGGCACTGATCTCCAGTAAAACTACTCAAAACGTTGGAATTTGTTCTTTAACAAAGATACTTTGTATTTAGGCAAGTTTTCAGTTAGTTTTTGTCTATCTCCTATCCTGAAGTCACATGGAAGAAAACCTATGTTCTACACTCCCAAGAGAAGTTTTTATTAAAAAGGTAAGTGTATTCCTGTTCACTTCCTCCCCCCTCAGACTTACTCTCCTGCAGCAATTTTTGACTGCCCTGGGGAAAAAAAAATAAACAAACGAACAAAAACCAGAAGCACTGATCAAATAACATTTTATGTAAGTAAATACCTAATGATCCATCAGGGTTTCTATTAAATCCACATCTAAGTAGGAGATACTAGGCGAACAAAACATGTAATACAAATAAGCCATAAAACAACTCAGTTTACTGTTTCAAAAGCTAAAAAGTACAATTTATGTTTTTCTTAGCTGAACAAATATTTGCAATGTAGGCTAATGTTCTGTTACAGATGACATTCTTTTGATTCTGTTCTTTGGAAGTTTATCACTAAGTTGTTGCAATAAGAAATTGAAGTGTAAAGTGCTGCAACTATTGCTTTGGGCTGGCATGTTTTGTTAATATTGGGCTATCAGCAAAGTAATGCTATCAGCAAAGGAGGGAGAAAAACAATGCTAAAACCCAAGTATGTTGTTTACTTATCTATCAGGTAGTGCCAGCAGCATTTAGCTGCTAGCACATTGTAGCTTTGAGAGTGATAGATCTCAGAATTGTAGCTCGTGCTGGTGATCACAGAGAATAAAAATGAAAAAGAATTGACTAAGCTTAAGCTGGCACTTGTACCTATAGCAAATTCCTAAATGTGTTCCACTTGGTGTACCATTGCTTTTGGTTTAACTACAGTGTGACCCAAAAAAAGCATCTGCTACTCACACAAACAAGGTAGTTTGGGCTCGGGATGGGCTACTATGTGAAGTGTTTGATGGAATTATTGGGGTTTCTGTTGAGAGGAAGGAAGACTGATCCTGGAGCTAAACTGGCTAGGATATAGCTAACTATGCACATATGCCCATCTAATCATACCTCTACACTGTAGACGTATCACCATAATCCGAGGATAATCTGAATTACAATGTTGTCTTTTCTTTTGTAAAGCAGTCAATGTAATTTTCATCGACATACACACAGACTTATCAAGGTCTTATCCTACAGATAGGCACATGAGCAGTCCCAATATTTTAATGCATATATCCAGTTCCTCAAATGCACGAGTGTCTATAAGATCTGGCACCTAAGCCAGAAACAAAAGTTTCTCTGAAAGCTTTACCCTCAAGACTTCGCTCCTCTTCCAACAACTCTTCATAAAAGCAGGAAAAGTATATAAACAAGAGTAGATTACTTTAAATATTACACTGATTTTACTAATACTTCCTCTACAAGCATCCCATTCTAATAGTCTTAAGGTTAACTAGTGCAAGCTTTTGGCAGAACCGCATCTTAAATACTTGGGGGGGGGGGATGCTGTCACGAAACTTCAACACGACAAAGCATACATGGGGGCCGACATCGACCTAAATTAACGGGGGAAGGGGGATCCTCTGACGTCAAGACACGATCGCCGGTAGAGAGATGCAAGAAGGCAGCACACTGGGTAGGAGAACTGATCTTCTCGGCTGCTTGGAGAAGGCGAGGAAGCAGTAGGTGAAG